CCCACATCTCTCACACCAACACCCACATCTCTCACTCCAACACCCACATCTCTCACTCCAACACCCACATCTCTCACCCCAGCACCCACATCTCTCACTCCAACACCCACATCTCTCACTCCAACACCCACATCTCTCCACCCACATCTCTCAACACCCACATCTCTCACTCCAACACCCACATCTCTCACTCCAACACCCACATCTCTCACTCCCCACATCTCTCATCTCACTCCAACACCCACATCTCTCACTCCAACACCCATCTCTCACTCCAACACCCACATCTCACTCCAACACCCACATCTCTCCAACACCCACATCTCTACTCCAACACCAACATCTCTCACTCACTCTCAACACCCACATCTCTCCTCCAACACCCACATCTCTCCTCCAACACCCACATCTCTCACTCCAACACCCACATCTCTACTCCAACACCAACATCTCTCACTCCAACACCCCATCTCTCCAACACCAACATCTCTCACTCCAACACCCACATCTCTCACTCCAACACCCACTCTCCATCTCTCCTCCAACACCCACATCTCTCACTCCAAAACCCACATCTCTCTACTCCAACACCAACATCTCTCACTCCAACACCAACATCTCTCACTCCCACCCACATCTCTCCTCCACACCCACATCTCTCACCAACACCCACATCTCTCACTCCAACACCCACATCTCTCACTCCAACACCCACATCTCTCACTCCAACACCAACATCTCTCACTCCAACACCCATCTCCCTCCTCCACACCCACGTCTCCCTCCTCCACACCCACGTCTCCTCCCACACCCCATCTCCCACTCCTCCACACCCCCCACTCCTCCACACCCACGTCTCCCTCCTCCACACCCACGTCTCCCTCCTCCACACCCACGTCTCCCACTCCTCCCACCACACATCTCTCCCTCCTCCACACCCACATCTCCCACTCCTCCACACCCACATCTCCCACTCCTCCACACCCACATCTCCCACTCCTCCACACCCACGTCTTTCACCCCTAAGATGCTCAACACACTCCAGAGAGTATTTTTCACACCACCTCACTCAAACTCATCACGTTATATACACACAGTCTCTTCATACTCGACAGGTTGTTGCTCTTTCAGTCAATCGCGATATTTTTCAATCCGTGCCAATGTTAGTGATGTAGAGGTCAAGTACCACAAATGTTGTATAAGTCGTTGATGTGATAGTGGCCAGTCTGTGAGAGCAACGATGCAGAAAGCTCCTTGACATGACAGGGTGGTGACACTATGGCAACCCCCTAAGCAGGAGGTGTTATCTTTGTCCAGGGCCTTGACATGACAGGGTGGTGACACTATGGCAACCCCCTAAGCAGGAAGTGTTATCTTTGTCCAGGGCCTTGACATGACAGGGTGGTGACACTATGGCAACCCCCTAAGCAGGAAGTGTTATCTTTGTCCAGGGCCTTGACATGAGAGGGTGGTGACACTATGGCAACCCCCTAGGCAGGAAGTGTTATCTTTGTCCAGGGCCTTGACATGACAGGGTGGTGACACTATGGCAGCCCCCTAAGCAGGAAGTGTTATCTTTGTCCAGGGCCTTGACATGACAGGGTGGTGACACTATGGCAGCCCCCTAAGCAGGAAGTGTTATCTTTGTCCAGGGCCTTGACATGACACTGCCTGCCCTCTAATATTGATCGAACTCGCTTCACTTGAGTAGGAAGTCGAGAACAACTCAGACATGTGTCGTTGTGTTAGCGCCAGTCGTGTATTGCTGAAACTGCTACGAACTTTGACGATGACACCTGATATTGAGTCAAAAGAAAGAAATAAGATCAATGAAAGAGAAGAATAGGAACAAGAATAGAAGGAAGAGAATAATAAGTAAAACCATTGGAAGAAAAGAGATAGATATATACTTTAGATATTTGGAGAGATGGAAGAGGAGAAGAAGAGCAAGAAGAGAGGAGAATTGTTTCCCTGCCAAACGTCCTTCACCATTCTACACCTAAAGAGGATTACAGTACACTACACAGTACCAAGATCTCATTACTGGACTTCACCTCCTACCACCACCCAACACTCTTCATAATTAACTTAAATAGGATATAAGTTCCCCCTAATTAGTTAACTTCAGTAAAATATGATATTCTAAGAAGCGTGATTACGATGATGTGACGTGTGTGTGTGTGTGTGTGTGTGTGTGTGTGTGTGTGTGTGTGTGTGTCCGTCCGTACCACCGCCACTGTCCAATCTTATCGCACTAGGCGGATTAAACTGTCCATCAGCTCTTGTCGGACAACATTTCCTTACTCATTATATTTACGAATCTTAACATAACGCGTCAGAATCAGCAACATTATGGACATGGCAGACATTAGTAGAAAAATGGTAATGGCTATCCACAGTCTGTGACACCAGCATCACTGACCTACAAAGGGCTGCTACGGCTAACCCGATTGAAAATTTTCGGGCGAATATAGTCAACACGTGAGAGCCTCTATCCTGACTCCTCAACCTCTATCCCAATCCCCCGGCCTCTATTCCATCCCCTCAACCTTTATCCCAACACCCAACCTCTATCCCTTCCCTTAGCCTCTATCCTGACTCCCCAACCTCTATCCCAATCCCATTAGGAATGAAGCATTTCAGGGAATATTCATGAACCCAGATCGCACGGTAATGCAGAGGGAACAACACAAAGAACTCCTGTGGTGCTTGAGGCAGTGGAGGGAGGAGTCGATGATAAACAGGACGGACGTGCATAGGTTTTATACAAGGGGAAAGTAGTGGAGGCAAATGCACTAGTACAGAACCAGGGGACAGCGCGATACCTAACCTAACCTAACCTAACTTAACTCCTAAAATTCACTTTTGGCAAATGAACTTTAATATATTTTAAAACTTATAAGTGAAAGTGGGTGGCAATGGTTGGATGGCTCATTATAAGAAAACAATCTTCTACTTTAAATTTAATTCAGTCTTGACATGGATTTTAATTTACCTTAGCTAATTAATATAAATGAGTAATGACATTTGAGTTTTAAAGCTGAAATTTTTTATTGTTCTTACATTTCTCAACACAGGTGGATATTGATTTAATTCACCCTTACATTCTGACGTTACTTGTAAATTTTGATTTATCTCTTAAGTGGTGTGAAGTGAACGAACAACTTTCATGGTGTTTTTTAAAGTTAATTTTGTTTTTTAACTTAATCAAACAGTTGGGTTAGGTTAAGTTAAATTTCATGCATTATAACATCCCCAGTTACAAGATAGATTCAGCGTATGACTATGTGAACCCTGACCCAGGCTGAGCAACAGTGCAGGAGAGTGCACCAGATATTGGTGCCTTAACTATTTTATCTAATCTTTAATGCACAGTACATTATATTTTATAATATGGGAACTATCGGAGACGATTACTTGTGCCAGTGAGAGGAGAGGAGGACTGTCCAGTGACATGTGAGGGTTGGTCGCTGTAATTACTCGTATGTTTTAACATGATGTAGAGGCGTTAGCCTAGTTCTCCAAATATATTTATCATGATGACTTCTGATCATGGCTGCACCCCTGCCCTAGTTAGTTGGCTTGCCTCGACCCACTTACTCAGCACTCCCACACCACTTGTCTCTCTCTGTAAAAGATAACTTTGGCGACGACAAATTGCACTGTCTCTTATGAGTACACTATTGACTACATAATAAAGCAGATAAGAGACAATAACGGTTTATTTGTTATGTGTTAATATAAATTAATAGGGAATATAAATATTCATAGCTTGAGGAAAAAAGTCTATAAATATGACCCTAATCATATAGTAGAAAATGACATTATATCTGATAATGAGAATATAATCTGCAGCAATACAGGAAGTATCAACACTCTTAGATGGAGGACAGAGCCTTCCTTAACACCGGTATCTCACCACCGTAAAGAGCTGCTTCTGCCCATTCACCTCAACATCCTACTATGTCAACAAATATATTTCTGTCAAGTCTCACAAACCCCGCCAGCCAATGTACCAGGTATAAGTGTAGGTGTATGTTTTAGTATGACAAGTGTTATGTAGGAAAGGTGTGTATACCTTTGTCAAGTGAGAGTACTGTGAGTATGATAGGCGTGGGCACTTGAGACAAGTGAAGATAACAAATGTGCTTACATGATTTTGACAAATGTGTATAAATATTACAAGTGTACTGGATGGTCGACTCTCATCTGGCACATGGTAGGGTTTGAGGTCAACTCAGGAAAATAATCCTCCATTCAACATCGAACAACTGACCCCTGACCTCTGACCTTGTAGCAAGTCATCAAAATGTCCTTCCGTCCTCGACATTAATTGGGAACTATTATTTTTTTTTGTGTCATAAGCAATTAACATTTAATAGTTATGTCTCTTAATGAGAATTCCGAAACAAAAATTATGGGGCGACACAGACGGTAGTATATCAGCGACAACAGTTAGTAAGACACTGGTGCTCCGTATGATGTGTTTATATATCTGTCTTTGGGAGTATTAACTTTTGTCATTGTTGATGATGATCATGTATATGTACAGTATATCAAGGGCGTAATGAATTATGTATAGTTCTGTCTGCATACATATAGTATATTATGTGCTGACCAAAAACCTCTTTCTCTGTACACTGTATCTGAGTACACGTCACTATCAACATGTTAAAATAGTCTTTATCTTTATGAAAATATTGTGTTATAGACGTCATACATTACTTAGATTCAGGGTGCGTTTATCTCATTGGTTGGCTGGTACACCCACTAAGCCAATCAGAGAGCGGCAAGGGAATGCTTTGATCGGGAGAGGCAATATTCCCTTTGGTTAATAATTTCATAAAACTCATCATCACATTTGTAAATTCTTTGAAAATTTACGTATGATGCAGTTTTCTGTAATTCTGTGACTCAGCATCACACAAATTTTGAACCAATTCAAACCATTGTGGACAATGAGCAATAAATGAAATTGGTGTAAAAATAAAATATTTTAGTATATATACATCAATGTTTATTCTTCACACACATAGATAAACAAATACAAGTAAGTATCTTTCATTTACGAGAAAAGATGTGATTATGTATTTTTTGCAACTCGAGCTAAAAAGACAAAACCTCCCGTAAGAAGAATAAAAATAGCACAAGAGCTTTATTTGCAAGTTGACCTAACTATTGAGGTTTTTTAATGTTTGCTATTCTTTCTTAGGTTACAACAGTCACTAAGACTTATTCGCCTTCATTATCACTGAACCATTCATGATTATATTCAGTTGATGATTTTTATTGGATGAACATTTTTGGCAGATATCTTCAGTTGTCGATATATCCTGTTCATGATATCTTCCGTTGAAAGCCTCTGTTGTTAATGGTAGCAACAGAAGGCTTCACCAGCGTCAGCGATCACCTGGAGGAATAACTCAGGGACGGAACGACATAGCTTCAGCGTATTCGTCTTCACCACTCGACCCTGATATCATTTTGTCTTCTATCTTACGAAATCTTCATCTTACAGACAAATCCCCCAGCACCGGCGGCGAAGATATACCCGTCTTGTGAGGCCGCGATGCCGTTAGTATAGCCGGGCAGCCCACACGACGCGAGGAGCTTCAGGCTGGTCAGGTCCCACAACCGAGCTTCATTGTCCCACCCAGCCGATAGAAGCCGATCCTCTCCAACTCCTCCCAGGGCTGTGATGATCATCTCGTGGCCCTGCAGTAAAGAGAGAGGAGGGGAAAAGAATAGGGGATGAGGGAGAATAAGGAGGTGGGAGAGAGAAGAGGGGAGATACAGGTTTGTGGAGAGTGAGAGAAGAGGAGGGTTAAGGGTAGGAGCAGAGAGAAGGGAAGAGGATGGAGAAAAAGTGAACAGGAAAAGAGGGAGGAAAGGGTGGAGGGAAAAGTACGGGAGACAGAGATAAAGGAAAGGGAGAGAGGACAAGGTAAAGGGGGGAAGTATGTGGGAAGAATAGACGAGGAGGAGGAGGAGGACAGACACAGTGGAGGAGAAGTACAAAAATAGGTAAATAAATAAATCAAACATTATATTTCCTACATTCCTCACTCTACATATTTACACACACTGGTAAACAAACACGTTGGTCGTTTTCACTGCAAAGAAAAAAAAAACTGGACGAAACAAAAGGAAAAATATTACTGTCTGTGAATACACTGCGTTTGTGTCAATATATATTCAGTCCAACAAACACACGCCAACATCACACATTTAAGTGAAAGTAATTCTGTATAGTTTTTACAGAGAGAAAAATGTATTTGCTTTGTATTTTTTCTCCGTTTAAAATTTTGTCACACAGGTGTATGTAAATTCAATTAGTAAAGTTTCATGACAAAAGAAGGACTCTGGGATTGTTTTAAAGCCATTAAGGTCCCCAAATACCGAGGAAGTATTATGTATGCTCTCTCTCTCTCTCTCTCTCTCTCTCTCTCTCTCTCTCTCTCTCTCTCTCTCGAAGATCAACCCACCTTGAGTTCCCCTTTGAGTTTGTACGAGCCTGCGGTGTTGTCATGGACACGGATGGTGAGGCCGGAGGTGTCAGGGAAGGTGAGGTTGTTGCCCGCCACACAGATGGGGGCGCGGCCCTCCAGGGACTTTATCACCGTGAACTTGTTCTTTTGTCCTGGAAGAGTCACGTGGAAGGTTTAACTGCCTTAATTTGATAAAAATGGAGGTTTACCTGACCTACAGTATTGTTACAAAGGAAGTATTTACGGTTTACAATACATGGTAATTAGTTCAGTAAGATTTTTTCTTCTACTCAGTTTTGTACAGGAAAAATCCTTATTTATAACTAATCAAGACTAATTTTATTACAGAAAATAGATGAACCGAAGCTGAAAATACTGAAAGTAACGACCTTCGAGGTAAATGACGTAATAACATGATAATTAAGTTGGTTGTGTTGAGTTACAATAATATACACAAGCTAAAGTTCTTAACTTAACAGTAGTGAAACGATAGGAGTTATAAGTTAGTGAATGGTTAAAGCCCAACTAACTACCTTTGTTTCAGATGTTTAATGACCTCATACATAAACAAGAGTACATTATTTCCTGGCAAAATATTTTCTACAGTAAGTTCATAACAATGCAGTAAATATCAATCATTTTCCACTAAACACTAAGTTGCTTGGGAACGATAACTAAGTATTGTACTGTTAACAAGACAGTAAAGTGATTGGTGAACTTATATTCTTCAACGAGAATCAATACGAAGTTGGTGAACATTTTCTTTCACAGGTGAGTGTACTACAGGTATTGCTTACTGAGATGACTCTTGGTTTAAGGTAAGAAAAAGTTAGTTTAACTTTTCTGGGTCAGGAACTAAGAATATATATTTTCAATTAAGTTGTAATTAGAAAGAATATTAAGAGCAAAATATTAGGAGCTATTATTGATACTTAAGGTCGGGTAAAAATACAGACTCTCATAGTGGATGTTGTTCACTCTGTGTATGACAACCGTTATTGTTTACTCTGTTTTACCCCCGATGTGTTTGGCTAAATGTAAATAAATATGAGCGTTAATGGTGTAGCACAATAAGGTCACACAATACCTCCTTAATTATAACGCAAATGGTCAACAAAACGTGTAAGTAATTAAAAGGTCGTGACTCAAACTTGTATTCATTTCTAGGCCTATAGATTGTTTATTATGTGCATATTCTACTGAATCTCTCCCAACCTTACTCATCCCGGGCCAGTACTGGGAGCTTCGTATCTCGGAGTGTATTTTCGATGGTCTGTAACAGGTTTATATTGACAAAAGTGAACCACAGTGGTATATTATAGCCTGTCCCCTCCACAGTGTAGATATATTTTAACGAATATTCCACCTATATCCGCGTAGTGTTATTTACCCTACACAGTGACAGGGCAGCACCGACGTTGCCTGGTACTGCACGATATGCTCAGCTCTTGTATAGGTTATTATGACGTTCATGTGGCTCGTGTGGGTGCTGTGGCTGGGCCTAGTGATGCAGAAGTGTTCACTGACTATACCTTTGTAAAGAACACTGTAATATCTAACATTAGTGATAAATTACGTGTGAGTCATTCAATGTTCCTTGTGATTGAGCCCGGCCAGTTAGTCACATATGTCCTTCTAACTCGGACACTCATGCTCCTTATGTACAGAGTAATCTAGGGTCAAAATGGTTCCACTTCGACATCTTATCTAACATGATGGCCTTCGAGTGTTGACGTTCACGAGTGGTCTCGCTCACCTCGCTGAACTCACTAACCACCGCTGACTGCCACACTCACTAGTTACCCGTGGTCCAGACCCTTGTGGGGCGACACACTCAGTGACTGTGATGTGAGGCTATCTGTACGTTGGAGCCTTGCTTGTGTCCGCTTCCCGAACACTTGGTCTACCATCACTAGATTCTTCCCTCAAGCTTGTCACTTTGCCAATCAAGGTCTGCCTTGGACCACTCGGCACGCCACTCCTACTTTTTTTTTTATGGGGATTAGCCCACCCGGACACAGGTCACTGACCCACACCGGGGCCTGGGGGGCGAAAATGTAATAATGATAATAATTATAATAATAATAATAATAATAATAATAATAATAATAATAATAATAATAATAATAAATAATAGTCATAATAATTCATAATAAATAATATTTATGATAAAAAATAATAATAAAATAATGATAATAATACAGTAACTGTAATAATAATAATATTAATAATAAAGAACTATAAATATAAAAATGAAAAAAAGATCAAAAGTGAGAAACGATATATGTATGTTGTGTTGTCAATGGTAAGAGAAACAATTGAGACCCTGCAATTGTGTGTAAATGAAGCAGAAAGTCAGATCAGCAACCTGGGACTTGGTCACAATTTTCGTGATGCCATATGGCAGCAGGGTCTACCATTAGATAACGCATTATGCTTCCAATATCTTCCCAGGCGGTAGTACCTCCCTGTTTGATAGCTGCCTACTACCTACTACTTCCGTTGCTAGGATACACTGTTTACATCGCTAGCTGACAAAAAAAATTCCTGAAGCAGACTCTCTTCTCACCAGACTAGTGAATGACTCCCTGCAGCTGAAATCTGAAAAATTCTTCTCCCTAAACGAGAACTACATCTTTGGTGCTAGGTAGCAGGCATGATAGCGACGTCTACTTTGGCATGCAGGAACCGTATACTTCAGTTGCTCAACCTCCAGTCGTTTTGTACCTCTGATCGCTAAGAAAGTATATGCACAGCTCAGCTTCCCAGCATGTACAGTACACACACTTCAAAAAGTATCTTTACGGATTGGTCAAATGAATTTCAAAATGAACACTGTGACTTCTATTGTCTCGATAGGGTTGTGAAAATCCTGTTGTCGTTGTGTCATATTGTCAAACACAAATTCGTAAAGATACTTTTTGAAGTGTGTTACGTCGTCCTGGACAAGAGGCATCTGGATACATTATGCTTTATAGCTCGTTCCCTGAACCCTTTATCCTCCGTATATCTGCATGTCACTACTGTTGGAAGTGTGTTGTTCAGTGTTGGGTTTGTTCTCTGCATCTGAAGCAGGTGTTGCTCATGGGTAGTTCGAACCGAGTCATAGTGCGGGGTGTAATCGTATGGCTGGTCAGTGACCAGCCATACGATTACACCCCGCACCCCGCTTGGTCACTTGACTCCCTTCCTCTGACCCAGTTGGTCATTTGCCACCTGTGAGTATTCCATATTATATATTATAGTTTTTGGTTTATGGTTCCTATGGTGTTTTAAGGTGTGCCTTGTGTAATGTTTGTTACTATGTATGTATAACTTAGTGTGTATGAATTGTGCAAATATAATAGCATGTTGACCGTTACTACTAAAATATTTAGACACTATTCTAAATGGACTGTATTGCTGCAGCTTTTTATTCATGGTCACGATGGTGAACTGCTGCACTCCTAGCCTTGTATATCAGCATGCTAGCTAGGAGACTGTCAGCCCTAGCCTCTGTGCTGTTCCTCCCGGGTCCATTATCAAGTACCTGTGCCGGTTAGGAGGATACTTGCTCTCCTGTGAAGTTGTTGAGAAGACCCCAATTTACCACCTGTGCCGTGTTTATGTAAAAGACCCCACGCTTGACATCCAGTGTCTACACTCCCGACATTTGTTCCGACCGGCAGTCCGACACTTCCATACCACATAGGTTTATGTTGCTCTGTACTGTCTTCATCTTTTGTTACAAATATCCATAATCTTGTTAAATATCCTTGGTAAAAGCGGAAGTATTCCATTGTACTGTATCTCTTTCCAAAGGAGAATCTTCCAGAACACTTGGTCACCAACTATTCGACCTTCAAGGCTGCCCCATCCACGAGCGATTATGTCCGGAAAAGTGAGATCCCGACTCTTTACGAGAACCATTAGCTAAAAACCAGTGGTGGGCACGGTTCCTCTGATCCGCTAATTAGCGAAGCTAACTTTCTCGTTAGCGGATTAGCGTTTTCGGTAACTTTTGAAACCATTAGCGGTCCAGCTAGCTTCCGCTAAATTTAGTTCCACTAACTTTAAGTCCCCTAACAAAATTTATACACGTTTGTTCCTATCTGTTGTAAGCGTGTGACGCCGCCACACGTGTCTCCAACAGCCAGTCAGGCACACTTGGCTGACTGCGTGTTAGTGCGTGTAAACGTGACAAGACTGTCAGTGTATGTTGAAAGAATCATAGAATGTAATTGTAAACTAATGTATAATTTCATTTCTCATTTATTTGTTAATTTAATTAGGATTTTTTTGTATCAATATATTTGGTTATGCTGCATAAGTTCATAACCAGGATGTCATCCAAGGTGTGCGCCAAACTAATTTTTCTAAAAACTTACTTTTCATTAAAGTTTAGAGTTTTCTGTTTATTTACATGACTAAGACCAACAATAAGTTATATAAAAATGCACTGGTATAATGTGTATGTGGTTGGTATTGCATATTTACATGAATAATGAATAAGGCCGATAGGTTGTATGAGAATGAAAATTAATTATTTGTGAAATTGTGTACAGTGTACACCTTGATAAGTTGATCATCATCTGATCTGGGCATGATGCTATTTGCTACCTATGCTATACAGTACTATAGTTTTTGGATTCGTTTAATACTTTCTGTCTTTTCGTACAGTAAATAAAGATTATAAAGTGTATGTTGAAACTTGAATGTAAACTAATGTCTAATTTCATTTGTTCATTTAATTATTTGTGTACACCTTGATCATCATCTGATCTTGGCATGCTATACCTTTTGGAAAGCTCTATGTCTAAGCTACAAGACAACATATGAAAATTTCAGCTCTCTAGGTCTGTTTTAAGGGTTTTAGAGCCCCCCCCCCAAAAAAAAAAGAAGAAGCTAAATTCATATAATAAAAGTTAGCGGTTAGCGTTAGCTTCCGCTAATTTTTTAGCTGTTTAGCGGTTTAGTGTTAGCGAAGTTAACTTTTTAGTTAGCGGATTAGCGGTTAGTGAAGCTAACTTTTTGTTTAGCTGTGCCCACCACTGCTAAAAACGAAATGCTTTTTCTAAATGCACACGTTTGCTTGGTACTGGGCATTTAGCCCATCACTGTGGATGGTGTGGAGACTCCCACCCCACCTCACCTCCCTGTGTCTTCACCGCCCCTTGGTCCTTGGCCACAGTTAGCACTACTCCACACTCCTCCACCTACTCGAAGACTTACTCCATTCCCGAACTGTACTCCCTCCACTCTGTTACTGGCAGGAAGAGTAAATGACTGACCTGTAGCTAATTTCGCCAACATTCATCCAGGTCATCTCACCTCCCCGGCCTTCAAATGCATCTGGTGTGGATGACAGCGAGTTATTATCTAGCGCCAGGAGTGTACTGTAAATTGTACCGTCATGAGAAAAAGCAGATACCCCCGCATCCCCCATACACACACGCCCCCTGCACTACCTAACCCACGATCTACCCACCAGGACTCTGAATTCGTCGCGTTCAAAACTTAAACCCATGAAGCTTCGGGGGAACTTTGCCATCAACACTGGTACTGGTACAGCATGTACCAGTATGTCGCAATGTCGCACACTATGTGTGTAGGTGTTGTTTACCTGTTATTCCCTCTTTGTCTGTGTACATGTTTTTGTGCATTAACCTTTGCACACACACAAACACACATGTACAATATGACTCGTATTTTCTCGGTGGGGTTGTCAAAATTCTTCGTCCGTGGTGTCATATTGTTTCACACAAAGTTTGGATAGATACTTTTTTTTACCGTGTGTACACATATATTAAACAAGAGTGATTTTTAACGAGAGTTGGAATGTAAGGATCCTGTGAGGAAATAGACAATACAGGATAGTGCAGGAATTATATATTAGAATGTGAAAACACTGACGATGTATAGGACAAGAAGACAGGTGGAAGGTGAGGCGTACAGTACAGTATATGAGGTGAGGTGCTCAACAGGTGTACAGCACAGGGGTGTGTGTGTGTGTGGTGCCCAAGACTGTAAACGACACCTAAACATTTGATAATAACCAACCAACTTGCACTATACTGTAGAATACTAAACTCCCGACCCTCACGTGTTTACTGATATTCTTAATAACAATGACTGTAATGGGTAATAGAATGAAGAACCAGAAACATTAATATATCTTGATCTAAATGGTTGTTGACTAGTTATACAGTAGAAGCGCAGCTCTACAAGATAATATTAACTTCAACATAGAAAATTTTGCCACTGAAAATGAGTGTAGCCTTATATATATATATATATATATATATATATATATATATATATATATATATATATATATATATATATATATATATATATATATATATATATATATATATATACGTGCAGGTCCTTAGTCGTGGGAACACTTCCATCATGGGGGGGGGAGGGGGGGAGAGGTACACTTCTGACGGTGTTCTTACAGCGGGAAACTGACTGTAGGAACCTGTTGCGTCTAAAGGTCTAGGATGGGAGAGGGAGGGGTGGTGGCTCCCGGGTCCGTCACCTATGATCACTCACCTTTGGTCTGGGTAATAGTGACGCCGCGGTCCCTTACGGAGTATATAAGGTCGTCCTGAGCGTGTAGACTCCACACCTCCTCTACCACACCGTACGACGCCTGCACCGCCCCTGACTCATCGAACACGTACACCTGAGTGTAGGGTACAATGAGTCAACAATGATGTTTAGGTTCAGTAGAACGTATAGTAAAAACAAAAAATGCAAAGAAATAACCCACGAATATATTGACAACAACGCTGGAAATGTTTCGATAAAACCAAGACCATTTATTGAATTATGATAACATAATATTCATCGTCTCCCTCTTTGAAGAGAGGAGTGCCGGAGTCAAGTGACCACAGCTATCACCTACCGATCTAAGGTATCGCTTGTCCACCCCCGGGGCACCCCAGTCGACCCAGCTGTGAAAGGATACTCTACAGTTTGCTATGTGGAAGCAGTCCTGCAGTGCCGGTCATACTACCTTCTTGTGTCCTCGAAGTTTGCTGGATTCTAACTTTTTAAGGATTTTGTCGGTCTGAGGAACGTAAGTCTTTAATTGCTGTTCGGTCATATTTAAACCAATTAAAATAACGGTTGATACAAACTTACCTTGCTAGAAGCCTCCCATATATGCTCTTAGAAAATATGACTCGTGAATGTCTGGTATATTTAGGAATACACGGGTTAAAGGTCACAAAATACATACTTTGGTGACTCGTCCGTTCTCCCGCTGCGAATCAACGAGTAACACAACCCTTACACCGGGATTTAAAAAATTATGTAGTTTATGCCTTCTCTCCATTTTACAGAGGTCAAAGTTCACCCAAATTGCATTTATTTTTATTTTTGGCTCATTATGGCTCTTATTAAATTAGTGACACTGAATGTTGTGTTCACACATAAATATTGTCCTCATTAATCATTACAGTGAAATTATTGTTGTTGTTCCAATTAGCATGTTAATTTATACCGTTAAACACAATGTTGTCTTCCCTGGGTCTGTGAGGCGTCGTTCACCTCCCTGGGTCTGTGAGGCATCGTTCACCTCCCTGTGTCTGTGAGGGATCGTTCACCTCCCTGGGTCTGTGAGGCGTCGTTCACCTCCCTGGGTCTGTGAGGCATCGTTCACCTCCCTGTGTCTGTGAGGGATCGTTCACCTCCCTGGGTCTGTGAGGCGTCGTTCACCTCCCTGGGTCTGTGAGGGATCGTTCACCTCCCTGGGTCTGTCATCCTCCCCTGGGTCTGTGAGGCATCGTTCTCCTGGGTCTGTGAGGCATCACCTGTGAGTTCTCTGTCTGAGGCATCGTTCACCACCTGGGTCTGTGAGGCATCGTTCACCTCCCTGGGTCTGTGAGGTATCGTTCACCTCCATGGGTCTGTGAGGCATCGTTCACCATGTTACGTTCTACAGTACTGCATATAAAATAATATTAATTTAAGAGAGTTCTTCCTCAGTGTAAGGAATTATGTGTAACGTCATTCGTTCTTGTTCAAATATGCCCAATTGGTGTAGTGTTTCTCATCACCCAGGACACCTGATGTAGTATTTCTCATCACCCAGGACACCTGATGTAGTATTTCTCATCACCCAGGACACCTGATGTAGTATTTCTCATCACCCAGGACACCTGATGTAGTATTTCTCATCACACAGTACACCTGATGTAGTGTGTCTCATCACCCAGGACACCTGATGTAGTATTTCTCATCACCCAGGACACCTGGTGTAGTGTTTCTCATCACCCAGGACACCTGGTGTAGTATTTCTCATCACCCAGGACACCTGATGTAGTGTGTAGTGTTTCTCATCACCCAGGACACCTGGTGTAGTGTTTCTCATCACCCAGGACACCTGGTGTAGTATTTCTCATCACCCAGGACACCTGATGTAGTGTTTCTCACACCTGATGTAGTATTTCTCAGGACACTCTCATACACCTGGTGTGTTTCTCATCACCCTGGACACCTGGTGTAGTGTGTTTCATCACCCAGGACACCTGGTGTAGTATTTCTCATCACCCAGGACACCTGGTGTAGTATTTCTCATCACCCTGGACACTTGATGTAGTGTTTCTCATCACCCAGGGCACCTGATGTAGTATTTCTCATCACCCTGGACACCTGATGCAGTGTTTCTCATCACCCAGGACACCTAACGTATTTCTCATCACTCAAGGCACCTGATGTAGTATTTCTCATCACCCTGGACACCTGATGTAGTGTTTCTCATCACCTAGGACACCTGATGTAGTATTTCTCATCACCCTGGACACCTGATGTAGTGTTTCTCATCACCCAGGACACCTGATGTAGTGTTTCTCATCACCTAGGACACCTGATGTAGTGTTTCTCATCACCTAGGACACCTGATGTAGTGTTTCTCATCACCCAGGACACCTGATGTACAGTCGGGGTCAAAAGTCTTGAACACTTAGCAATATCTGGCATCTACTTCTGAGTTAAACATATATGATTGGGATATACTAATAACACTACTTGTCATCACATATAATGCCTGAACCACAAAATGGGATAAAACTCTCTTTAATACCTAAGATCTTCGGGTACTTACTTGCCAAATGCTGTCAAGTGTTCAAGACTTTTGACCCCAACTGTACATGTGGTGAGATTCAGACGAAAAGCATGTCTTTGAAGAGTTTCCCATATCATTGCACTTGCGCCAACATTTCAACATCACAACACTAGAAAAATTGTTCATTAAACAATATACATTATGGCCCATGATTAAAATGTTGAACAGTCAACCATTAAATTAAAATACAGTTAACTAACTACATACGAATACAAATAACACCGAGACATTATGATCCACAAAGACTCTGGATCAATAAAACAACAAGTTATAAAAAAAGACACTAAAATACACAACTAGGAAATCGTAGTATATACACATGATGCGGGGAAAGCTACAGTATTACGTTCTTAAACATACAAGGCAAGTATAGAATGGATGGCACTGCATACATTTTCATGGCCAGACCTTTCCTTATATTCATGTATTTTTGTGGTCAATAAAATATCTACCTATCTAGTGTTTCTCATCACCCAAGACACCTGATGTAGTGTTTCTCATCATCCAAGACACCTGATGTAGTGTTTCTCATCATCCAAGACACCTGATGTAGTGTTTCTCATCACCCAAGACACCTGATGTAATGTTTCTCATCACCCAAGACACCTGATGTAATGTTTCTCATCACCCAAGACACCTGATGTAGTGTTTCTCATCACCCAAGACACCTGATGTAGTGTTTCTCATCATCCAAGACACCTGATGCAGTGTTTCTCATCACCCAAGACACCTGATGTAGTGTTTCTCATCACCCAAGACACCTGATGTAGTGTTTCTCATCACCCAAGACACCTGATGTAGTGTTTCTCATTATCCAAGACACCTGATGTAATGTTTCTCATCACCCAAGACACCTGATGTAGTGTTTCTCATCATCCAAGACACTTGATGTAGTGTTTCTCATTCCCTTCTAATTCCTCTTTTTATTAGATCCACCCTTTCCCCTCCTCTCTTTCCCCTCCTCTTCTTCCCCTTCCCTTCCTCCTCCACTCCTTTCCCTCCCCCTTCGCCCCCTCCCCTCCTCCTCCCCTTCCCTCTCCTCCTCCCTCTCACTCTTGGCCCCATTCCCTTCTCTTCCACCTCTTTTGCTCCTCCAACACCCTTTCCCTCGACGTTTACTCTCCCTATAGTTTTTCTCCTCTCACTGTCCCTTCCCTGGCCACCACTCACCTCGCCCTTATCATCGCCTGCGAAGACGTGTGTACCGTTGGTGGCGAGCTTTCTGACGGACTCCTCGTGGTTGGTGAGTGTATTCTTGAGTTCGAAAGTGTTGAGGTCCCAACTCTTGACCGTGGCGTCGACGGAACACGTGAAGAGGGTGCTGCCCAGTACCAGTAGGTCGTTGATGGAGTAGTCGTGCGCCTTAAACTCATGCAGCAGTTTTAGGTCGTGGTGGTCCCACACCTGAGGGAGGTATAGGGAGAGTACGGTCACTGGTGGTCACGGAAGGAAGAAAGAGGACTGTAAGAACAGGATGAAAGACCAAGAAGAAAAGGGAATAAGAAGACGAACAGTATAAATCAGAGGATAGATGAACAGAATGAAAATGGTTAACATCTGACCTGGGACTAGGAGACACTGTCATGGTCATGGACAGGTCAGCATGCTGAGTCGGACTCAAACTAAAACTCTGTTTCGTCAGAAAACTCATAAATTATTATTGAACAATGTCATGAGCATTTTATATTACTGAGGCTCTTAAAGTCTCCTGAAATTTCACCTGAAAAACATTGAAAATTCCTTATTTAAATAACATACAACAATCTGGCACAATATTGTTTTCATATGGCAAATACAAGACACAAGTTCTCTAAACGTCTCGTATGCTGTGGTGAAACTGCTGTACGTATGTGTCTTGTACCTGGAACATATTAAGTACACATTCATGGATGGCATACTACATTTGAGAATCTGTCAGTGATATTAGGACATTTAGTCCATTCTTAATGTAAGCAAATCTGGGAACACCGAAGACTAACAGTTTAATATTGAGACATTAGGTGTATTTATAGAGACTTACAGGTTTAGAATAGTTTTCCCTTTAATAAATGACAATATTCCTCTCCACACTGTTAGTTTGGGACCTTGTGATACACCTTTCCACGCCATTTATTGTTCTTAAACTTTTTCTATTCATCAACAAGTATACGGTAGTTGTGTCTGTGATACCCCGAGACTCCCCAGAGTATGCGACAGTACACTGAGTGTGGTTAAGTTATTGTACGCCTAAAAAATAGCAAGAGAGGTAAAAGACGTCGCCTTGTTTATTTCATGTTTAACACTTTTTTGTGCTTATTTTACTTAAAGTGGTCATAAATAAGAATCCCGAGGAACCTTGGGTGGTGTTCTGGTTCCTGAAGTGATTCCAGCAAGTTGGAGCCTCAGTTCTGATAGAGAATTGTTAAGTGATTTATTTTAACATTCTGGGTCAATTTCTAATGTAATATTCAGTCTCAGACGCTATGTTGGCCCACACAACACAACTGTTACATATTGAGGGAAGTTGAATGTTCCTATTATCAAGATTAGTATTAAGTCTTTTGAAAAGTTTAATTATGTTCCAGATTTATATTACTGGTACTACTGAAAGATCATATATGTGTACGACCTGCCAATATCACAAGTAGGAAGACTGGTGTGTAGCGGTATAATCAGAACACGCCTTTATTATCAGACTTATATTTAGGATGAACCTTACAAGAACTTTAGTTATTGTTAATCTAGCCTGGAAAATATAACAGTAAAAATTGATTTGTATATATGCAGAACAAGAGGGGTATGTGTGTGTGTGTTTTTGTGTGTGTGTGTGTGTTTAAAAAAAAGCTGGATGGGGGATTTTAATGAAACTCGGTAAATATGTTTAAGGAAATGAAGAAAACAATGGGTTTGGAGGGAGCAGTTCTTAAGTCAAGGTCACAAGTCGGAATTAAAATAAAAATTTACTCGTTGGTGCAGCACAAACATATTGAAAAAATCTGGTAAAATTTGCATGAAGGATTATTGTGAGCAAAGTATTCAATCAAATTTGTTGGTCATATCAAGGGTCCCGATCACTGAACACTGACAAAATCTCGGCACACGAGTGGACCGATTTTAATTAAACTTGGCGAGTGGGGCTACACACTTCTTGAGGGAAATTTTAATTTGATATTGAATATTGTAGATTAAACTTAAAGGTCATAAGTCCAAGTCAACGTGGTTAGTGAGCAGCTGACCCTGCGGTGTTCTCGCCTGGCCTCACGTACCTTGACTTTGCCATCTTGTGAGCAAGTTAGGACGCGGCTGGCGGTCACCAGCAATGACTCAATTTCCTTCTCAGGTCTGGGCATCAGCTGGTTAAGTTTGATGAACTGCAAACAGGAATGGTGACAAGGCGGGATCTCAACGGCAAGAATCTTTCTCCCAGACAACATAACAACGGATTTTTTTTTTACGGGGATTAGCCCACCCGGGCACAGGTCACTGACCCACACCTGGGCCTGAGGGGCTAAAATGTAATAATAATAATAATAAATAATAAATAATAAATAATAAATAATGAATAATAATAATAATAATAATAATAATAATAATAATAATAATAATAATAATAATAAAGAACCATAAAGAAATACAAAATGAAAAAAAAGATCAAGAGTGAGAAACAGTATATGTATGTTGTGTTGTCAAGGGTAAGAGAAACAATTGAGACCCTGCAATTGTGTGTAAATGAGTCATAAAGTCAGATCAGCAACCTGGGACTTGGTCACAATTTTCGTGATGTCATAAGGTAGATGCAACAAGTCGATAGTTCTCACAACGTGACGTTATTTACTTGAGCCAACGTCACACGAGTGTCGCCATCACCACCTGACCTGACTGGTGATGTCGCCCTAACTAAACGACATCACTCTGTGAGAACCGATCAGAGTTTGTCTAAGTTGAGTCCATTGTTGTGATTGTTGGTAAAATAAACATTGCAAGAGGGACACAGGGTACTTCTCTAAAATTAAAATTCAGTTCACGACCTAACCACTCTTTGCACCATTCCCTTTTTTGCATTTGGTTCTTCTTTTTGCACATAGCAGCAATTATTATAGTGCACAACGCTATGCTCTTCGCTTTAACTGTCCGGCGATTATTCCTGCGACACACCACGGTGATCGTACCGCACCCGCCACTGCCGACCACCTACTAGCTACCGGCGCCCGACTATGACTGCCGCCAACCACCCCCGTGTGTACAACAACACACAGGCTTTTCCCGGTAAACGGGCAAAGCCCGCTCGGGCACTGCTCGATCGTGTGGACGGGGCTTAACACTTGTCAAAGATCACAATTCAAGGTCATCTATAACGTGTGTACTCCTACTCGCCCCTCACCTCATCCGCTATTGCTATTCCAACACCCATTTTACACAACACCCACCTCACTTTCCACCACCTATACCTCACACTCCACTACCAATCTCATACTCCACTCCTGGACGCAGCAGAAACTCACAGCTGCTACTTCCTCCCAGATACACAACTGACCTTATACAACATGTCAATAAGCGCACTTTGTAACATCGCTACTCAACATTATACTGGTAAAGGAAGACGGGTGTGAAGGGAAGGGAAAGGAATGGAGGAGGGTGTGAAGGGAAGGGAAAGGAATGGAGGAGGGTGTGAAGGGTAAGAAGAGTAGAGAAGGTGAACCAACACAGTCAAATGGGAAGGTCAACACAGTGTGGACTGTGCCAGTGTTTAACCTCATTGATCCTGACCACCAAGTATGGCCGTCACCGATGCTGACCACCACCACCTATGACCTTCATCGATGCTGACCGCCACCTATGGCCTTCACCGATGCTGACCACCACCTATGGCCTTCACCGATGCTGACCACCACCTATGGCCTTCACCGATGCTGACCACCACCTATGGCCTTCACCGATGCTGACCACCACCTATGGCCTTCACCGATGCTGACCACCACCTATGGCCTTCACCGATGCTGACCACCACCTATGGCCTTCACCGATGCTGATCACCATCTGCTGACTCACTGATCCTGACCACCATCTTGTGACCCTCACTGATCCTGACCACCATCTGGTGACCCTCACTATTCCTGACCACCATCTGCTGACTCACTGATCCTGACCACCAACTGCTGACTCACTCATCCTGACCGCCATCTGCTGACCATCACTGTTCCTGACCACCATCTGCTGACACTCAGTTCCTGACCACTATGACCACCATCTGGTGACCCTCATGGTCCTGACCACTATCAGCTGACCCCACTGTTCCTGACTATCATCTGCTGACCCTCACTGTTCCTGACCACAATATGCTGACTCAGATCCTGACCACCATCTGCTGAACCTCATGGTTCTGACCACCATCTGCTGACCCTCACTGTTCCTGACCACCATCTGCTGACACATCCTGACCACAATCTGCTGACTCACAGATCCTGATATAGTAAGTTTTGTCAGATCAAACCAAGCCAGTTGAAAAACCTACATACCAGTATCTATGAGGTTATTATTTATAAATGTGAGATTGCATTATCGCCTCAAGGGCTATTATTGATACTGCACATGATGTTACTGTCTATATGTGTCATCAGTTCTCTGGTATAACATAAGAACATAAGAAAATAAGGAGTCTGCAATAGGCCGGTTGGCCTGTGCATGGCAGCTCCTGTCGAGAGTTACTATTACTCTCTATCATCTATGAATCTATCTAGCCTCCTTTTGAAACTTTCCAGAGTTCCAGCACTTACTACAAAGTTGCTAAGCTTGTTCCACTCGTCCACCACCCTATTTGTGAACCAGTTTCTTCCTATCTCCCTCCTAAACCTAAACTTATCCAACTTAAATCCGTTGCTCCGAGTCCTATCCTGCTCGGATATCATAAGAACTTTATCTATATCCCCTTTATTGATTCCTTTCACCCACTTAAATACTTCTATCATATCTCCCCGCACTCTTCGTCTTTCTAGGGAATGCAAATTAAGTTTCTTTAACTTATCCTGATATGGAAGGTTTCTAAGTCCCGGAATCATTTTTGTCATTCTTCGCTGCACCGACTCTAGTGAATTGATATCCATTCTATAATAAGGGCACCAGAACTGAACCGCATAATCGAGGTGCGGCCTGACTAGCGCAAGATATAGTTGCAATAAGACCTCTGCACTCTTGTTACTTACACGTCTAGATATAAAACGCAATACTCTGTTTGCCTTATTTCTAACATTAATGCACTGTTTTCTAGGCCGAAGGTCCGGGCTTACAAGTACCCCTAGGTCTCTTTCACAAGTCGACTTCTCTAGGTTGATGTTGTTAAGGCTGTATACATTAATTATCAGTATTTGTTCTTCCAATATTAAGTACACTGCACTTGCTGGTGTTGAATTTCATTTGCCATTTTTCAGACCACCCCTGCAGTTTATTTAGATCCTCCTGTAATGCATTTGCTTCCTGCCCTGAATTAATCTGCCGCCCTATTTTGGTGTCATCCGCAAACTTGCTTATGTCACTGCTGATCCTAGTATCTAGATCGTTTATGTAGATTATGAACAAGAATGGGCCTAGTACTGACCCCTGGGAAACCCCACTGGTTACACGGCCCCACTCAGATTTAACACCATCTACGCTGACCCTCTGCGTTCTATCGGTGAGCCATGATTTTATCCAATTTAAAACTTTCCCCTCGATACCATGAGCCTTAATTTTTCTCAGAAGCCTCTGATGCAGTACTCTGTCAAATGCTTTGCTAAAGTCTAAGTAAATAACATCGTAATTTTCGTCATTATCTACTTCCTCGAAGACTTTCCTAAAAAACGTCAGCAGATTTGTTAGACAAGATTTTCCCTTTGTAATCCCATGTTGAGAGTCGTAGATTAATTTGCTTTTCTCTAGATGCGATCGGATGCTATCTGCTGTAATTGATTCAAGAAATTTCCCCACTACTGACGTCAAACCGATCGACCGATAATTTGACGCTGATGCTCTGTCTCCCTTTTTAAATATGGGTACTACATTTGCCTGTTTCCACAAGTCTGGCACAACTCCGGTGTCTAATGATTTTGTAAATAAATTTACGAGGGATCTGCTAATCTGTTCCCTACACTCTTTCAAGACTTGAGGGAAAATTTCGTCCTGCCCTGGGGATTTTGTCTTCTTTAGTTTATTTGTCCTCTTAAGAATATCCTCTTTTCTGATAGTGATGTTCTTTAATTTCTCTAAATCCTTTCCCCTAAATATCAGTTCCACCTCTGGAATTTCTTCGCGAATTTCTTCTGTGAAAACTGATAAGAAGTAGTTGTTCAATGCTTTGCTTATTTTTTCACTGCCATTTATCACTTCTCCCCTCCCTGACTTTAAAGGCCCAACTTTGTCCTTGACTTTTGTTCTATATACCTGGAAAAATCCCTTGGGATTCGCCTTGGATTCACTTGCTATTTTGATTTCGTAGTCTCTCTTTGCTTTCCTTACATTTTTCTTAACACTCCTAGATAGTTCATTATACCTATTTCTGAGCTGCTCCTCCCCTCCCTTTAATTTCTTATAAATTCCTTTCTTTATTCCCATGTCATGTTTAAGTTTTCTGGTCATCCACCTTGGCGGGAGTTATAATGATCAGACCATAACTTACATCCCACAGAAGAACAGCACATATAACAGTAAGTAGACGCCCAGGTGGTAACCCACGAAAGTTGACACACCCTACAGTGAGATTAAGACCTGATCCAGGAGAGGGCACAGCCACTAGGTACCTGAGTTAACCCGGCGACATGACCGTGTTAAAGTAACCACACCTAGCCAAGACACACCCTGGTGGTAATAATTAGGAAGCATTACCGACTAGCGACATGACCACACACCTGGACAAACACAGCTGTCCAGAGCTGACCTAAGAGAGGTCAGTCACATTGACCCAGAGTTCTCACTGCCACGCGATTAGCTTAACCCTGTGACTGACCGTGTGACTCAAGAAGCAACCCCTCCAGCCAGTACACCGGTCTAGACATACCCAATCTAGTGTTAATTAGGAGAGGTCATCTGTCGGCTCTTCTCCAATATAAAGGCCCTGCAGCTCATTCCACTGAAGACAGAAGACAGAGTCACACTCGTCACTAGTCGAGGTCAGGAGGGAGACTTCCCTCCCCAGCACCGCATCTCCAGCTAGCAGAGTCTCCCATAGGAGACATAGTCCAGCAGCATCCGCTGGGCCTCCCACAGGTCACACGTGAGTCATTGTCAGAGTTATCCATAGGGTGAGTTACAGTGGGAAGTGTATTCATTTTATGTGTGTGTCCGAGAGTGAGTGTCTAGTAACATAAATAAAATGTTCTAGTAACTTCGATATAATGATCTATTAATGTGTCCATGTCATTCAGTTGATTAATAAATAGTTGTATTAAAAGCGGTGTTAAGAAAGATTTCAATCTAAATCCCCCATTACACTGACCACCATCAGCTGATCAGCTGACCCTCCCTGTTCCTGACCACCATCTGCTGACCCTCACTGTTCCTGACCATCTGCTGACCATCACTGTTCCTCTCCACCATCTGGTGACTCACTAATCCTTACCACTATCTGCTGACTCACTGATCCTCACCACCATCTGCTGACTCACTGTTCTTGACCACCATCTGCTGACCATCGCTGATCCTGACCAAAATCTGCTGACCATCACTGTTCCTCTCCACCATCTGGTGACTCACTAATCCTTACCACTATCTGCTGACCCTCACTGTTCCTGACCACCATCTGCTGACCATCACTGTTCCTCTCCACCATCTGGTGACTCACTAATCCTTACCACTATCTGCTGACCCTCACTGTTCCTGACCACCATCTGCTGACCATCACTGTTCCTCTCCACCATCTGGTGACTCACTAATCCTTACCACTATCTGCTGACCCTCACTGTTCCTGACCACCATCTGCTGACCTTCACTGTTCTCCACCATCTGGTGACTCACCCTTACCACTATCTGCTGACCCTCATTGTTCCTGACCGCCATCTGCTGACTCACTGTTCTTGACCACCATCTGCTACCATCACTGATCCTGACCATCATCTGCTGACCTTTGCTGATCCTGACCACCATCTGTTGACCCACTGTTTGACCACTATCTGCTGACCCTCACTTTCCTGACCACCATCTGGTGACCTTCACTGATCCTGACCATCATCTGTTGACTCCCTGTTCCTGACCGCCATCTGCTGACTCACTGTTCTTGACCACCATCTGCTGACCATCGCTGATCCTGACCATCTTCTGTTGACTCTGATCCTGACAACCATCTGGTGATCCTCACTGATCCTGACCACCATCTGCTGACCCTCTGTTCTGACCAAGTGCTGACCCTCAATGATCCTGACCAACATCTGTTGACTCACTGATCCTGACCACCATCCGCTGACCCTTACTTTCCTGACCACCATCTGCTGACCCTCATTGTTTCTGACCACCATCTGCTGACCCTCATTGTTTCTGACCACCATCTGCTGACCCTCACTGATCCTGACCACCATCTGCTGACCCTCACTGATCCTGACAATAATCTGCTGACCCTCACTGATCCTGACCACCATCTGTTGACTCACTGATCCTGACCATCTGCTGACCCTTGCTGATCCTGACCACCATCTGCTGACCCGTGTTGATCCTGACCACCATCTGTTGACTCACTGATCCTGGTCACCATCTGCTAAAGCTTGTGTTGTCTGACGTTTGGTAAGTTTATACAGTAACTCCCTGCGGGAACATCAAACGGATCTTCCATTACTGCCGTAGAACACCAGGCTGGTCTTAAAGGATTTTACCGCTATATTTATATTTTCTTGGAATATATTCATACCTCAGCTGTCTCTTTATGTGATTCAAGTTTCTGGTAACTCAGGTAGCCGTTCTGCTACGAGGTGACTGTATCTTTTATATATTGTTTCTTGGTGGTTACCTTCATTTAAGTGAGTGTAGCACCCGCCCCCCGTTCTCAGGGTCGTGGGTGTGTGCAAGGGGCACCCCAAATTCACTCAACTGTGATTGGGTACCTAACTTTATGGTCGGGGAAGTGAAAACGGTCGCGTGCAGTGGCGGCCACGTGGCTTCTTTGTATACCGAAGGCTTATAATATGATGTGCTGAACCACACTGCCTTAATATGTCTTTGGGACTCGCACTTTACACTTTCACTTAATAATAGTCCTTGATTATACATATGAGTACCAAGTCAGTTGTTAAGTATGTTTACATCTATAATTTTACTTATTAAAAAATAACATTATTTTTTTTTATTTAGGTAAAATATGTGCGTTTGGCTATATATCTGGGGAGAGGATTGTCCTTGTCTGTACCCTCTCCCTATATATCCCTAAGATGACACACACACACACACACACACACACACACACACACACACACACACACACACACATACTCGTACATCAAATTTTTGCAGATCAGACGCACTAGGAGACAAATATTGCTGCACAGGAAGTTATATATGATCTAGCCAGACAACCTCAGGTAACGTCTTCCTTCACCCCGGCTGTTGATCTGTCTCTCGTTTTCTAGCTTATCATTTTCTTAAATGTATTTATCGAGTTATTCAATGTCAATACAGCTGACGAAAGTAAAACAACTTGTAGTGTAGCGCATCCATATTGTGACTAGCAGACACCTGATGTTTGTTGACTGGTTCCCACAGAAGGTAGCTGTTATACCTTTATGACAGTCGCCCACAAAACCACCCACCTAGCCGAGATACCTGTCATGTAGATGAAGGTACAGTAGGTCGTTATGGTGTGAACATTTTAGCTTTCTATAACCTATGCAAAATGAAACGTCTGATGACCTACAGGTATATGAACTCACCTTGACTTTGTTGTCGCCGCCACACGTGAACACCTGCTCACCATGGACACGCACAGACTCGACGTCATCCTCGTGTTTCTGGTCATCAGTCGCGGTTACAACCACCTCTAGTTTGGTCATGGTCACTCTTACTCCCTTTCAGTCACAGAACTAACAACTAGAGACTTGAGAACTAACTAACTCGGCAGCAACAACTGCTTTATTTACCCGGCACGAAAGAAAACGGAACCTTGAAGAGGTGAGTTAAGGTTTTATTTATAATTTAATTTCTGTTAATTTACGATCTCCTTAAATTTACTTTCCTCGCCTTTATCGAGGCGTTTGTATATGGTATTAATAATACAGTTTCTTATAAGTATATTTAACGATACCATTAAGTCAGTTGCCCCAACGTGGTGGCAGTGGAGACACTAATGGCAGCACTGGGCCGGAGGGTACCAACTCGGGCATCACTCCCACACCCGCCCCTCGATCCTGGCCATGAGAATATGCTAAATATAACATCTCCCTGTCCCGCAGAAGAATCTGGTGGCATGGAGAAAAAACGATGTTTACCGCAAAAAGTTACACACCCTGAGCTCAGAAAGTTTCTTCTTTTAGTTGCATTAGTTGCTGGTGTTATTTATACCCGTATTAACTGAAGAAACTTTGTTAGCGAGGTATCTGATGAATTTAATACACTGTTGTGTAAATGTGTCATCAGGGGCCTGTGTCTTTATGTATCGATCACCAACAAGCCAAACTAGACAGCTATTGTACTCTGAAAGTTCAGATTATTTTCTCTTGCTCTTGTTTTAAGGTTTACATAACTGATATGATTTATGAATGCATTATACTCTTTTCATCTACCGGCTACCCGATGGTGGCGCCAGTAATGTTCCCGGTACAGAATCAAGTCGTTCTTCAGACAGTGGTCATAAAAACTGTGTCGTTTTTGCAAACAATGGTGCAGTCTTAAAAGGTGTACCTGGATAATGTATTGTTATAATGTTTTCGCTTTTGTAATTTCTCAAATATCTCTGATATATGAATTTTTTTAGAAATTTAATTTCAATCAAACCTGAGATAAAATATTTAATGTAATTATCTCATCTGTGGATGGTTCTAAGACAATTGCCCCCCATTGCGCGAGTGAATCTTATGTACAGCTAACCTAACTTAACCAAACCAAACAAAAACCAAACCAAACCAGACCAAATCTAACCTAACCGGGGGGCAATTGTCCAGAGGGCAGTTGTCCTGATACCCTGTGGATACCCAGATGTAAAGTAGTGAGGTAACTAAATTTAAGTAATATTGAGTATTTAGGGATGACTTTAAAGAGGATTAATTTTATTTTCAACAACTTTTACTTAAGTACATTTTAAGAGAAAATTTTGTATTTTAATTTCAATACAATTTTACCGAAATCTATTAGTCACAGTAATTTTCTTAAACTTTGGGGTAATTTCCTTGAATAAAGCAACCAATCACAGGACGTAAAATTAGGGGAATTTAAAGTAGATAGTCAATCAAGCAGGGCCGTCCCTAGGAGGGTGCAGGGCCCGGGGCAACTCAGCCACTGCGGGGCCCCAGAAAATATATATATGGAGTCAGATTATGCGGTCAGCGGAACCCACCCCCACCAACCCCCATGGGACTGTTGCTATGGATGGTAAGGTCACGGTTAAGATGGTGGCGTAAGCCGTCAGGTCAGATTAACCAGTCAACAGGTAATGTGTCCGAGGTCACTGGGTCTAGTGCTGGGCCCCGCGGGGGCCCCCCACACGCGCGGGGCCCCCCACACGCGCGGGGCCCCCACACGCGCGGGGCCCCGGGCGGTCGCCCCTGTTCGCCCAAAACCCCCTAAAGGACGGGCCTGCAATCAAGTTATTTTTGTCTCTGCTTATGTTTGACGTCATTCCCGTGGCTCGCGCCTCTCCTAGCCTGCTAATTCACTTTGAAGCGGTTATTTGGATCCGACAACGCTTTAACTCTTCAGCTCCAAGCTCATGTTAATTAGTATGTATGAGTAAAGGATAAAAGCAAGATTTCTTTGTAATTTCTTTTTCGCTTGAATTTAATGGCTTACCGGGCGACCAAAATAAAAGCAAATGGTAAATGCATCACCGTGTGTCGATTCCTCGAGTACATATATCGACTTCCCGAAATCATCTACTCTCCAAAAGCCTCCTGCCCCTGAGCATTTTAAATTCTTAATCCCGGGTGACAAGCTATAGAAGGGGAAAGACTTTGGCACATGCTGAGATGTGATATAATATTTGGCATGGCTCATAATTAATTTTTCAGATTACCTAATTCGACAAGAGTACAGAACCTCTAACATAACCAATTATGGGAGTTTTAGTGTAGTATAGTGATTGATTGATTTTATTTATTTATTTATTTATATATTATTTTTTTTACAGTGCTCTCCTGTTCCGGGGAGTCTGTGGCTTGATTCCCGGGCGCACCCAGTTCGCCCAGCTGTAAATGGGTACCTAAGTTTACAACCTGGAAGTGAAAGTGATCGGCTCGTTAGCCGCTTGGGCGATCGGTCACGTCTCTGATTACTTTTCCTTTTCTTTTATCCTCTTCACCAAAAGATCGGCTCGTTAGCCGTTTGGGTGATCGACCACGTCTCTGTTACGCACTGTTGGCAAATACTGGGCATGCACCGGCTCCTGAATGTACCTGAACCCGCTCAAGTGTTGGTCAAGTCTTATCTTGAAGGAGCTCACACTCGGTGCCGTCACAACACTTTCTGGTAGATTGTTCCAAGAGTTCACAACTCTCACTCCGAAAAAGTTTGCCCTCACAGTTTTCTGATCTTGCGGCTTCTTCAATCTTGAGCTGTGACTCCTTGTGGGGCGAGTGTCCGCCAGCTCCAAGTAAGTACACTCGAATGAGTAGTGCCCCTTGAGGTGCTTATACACCTCAATTAGGTCGCCCTTTGCCCGTCTGTAGTATAAGCTAGGCAAGTTCAAGCGCTCCAATCTCTCAGGGTAGCTGAGGTGCCGAAGTGCAGGCACCAGTCTGGTAGCCCTCCTTTGAACATTTTCAACCAACTGACAGTCCCTAGCATATCTCGGGGACCAGACGGGGTAACAGTACACCAGATGGAGAAGCACTTCACTCTTGAAGATCGTTGAGGGACGGACCGTCGATATATCTGAACGACCTTCTTATAAAATCCAATAATTTATTTGCCTAATTTCCCTTCTACTCGCAATGGCCCGAGAACTTCAGCTCATTGTCAACATACACACCTGCTGTAGGTCCTTCTCACATTCAGTCTCAAATAGTGCAGTTTCTTCACCCCGTTGGGACGTATGATACGCCTCCTTACCATTGGTACGCCCCAGGTGCATCCTCTTACACTTCGTGACAATGAATCTCAGCAGCCATTTCTTCGACCATTCTTGGAGCCCACAGAGGTCCTTCTGGAGCTCTTCACAGTCCGCTTGGTTCTTGATTTCAATAACTTGGCGTCATCGGCATGCATTTGTATGGAGGAGTGTACAACGTCAGGCATGTCATTTATGAAACAAACAAACAACAGTGGGCCCAATACACTGTACCTGTCCCACCACACCATATCACCTCCACCCCCACTGTACTTCGCTACGCCTAGTACATTGGCAACCCTGAGCCTGGCCGCACTGTTTGTAACTTTGTGGTCAACCGACTCTCACACCCTCTCTCACTACATCCTCACTTGCCCTATGACCTCCTCCTACAGGTCCCCAGCCGTGACCAGATATCCCTCCTCCTAGTGACAGGCCTGGCACTTGACATTATTAGGGACCTGCCAGACTTTGCCATAAACAGATAAATTGTACCGGGAATTTTCCCCCCACACACTCATCATTCTGTCACTTTATGTAACTTGACAGAACCTATGACCCTTCAGGCTTTTACGCCCTTATTGCATGAGTCATAAAGGCAAGCATGAACTCCGCATGCTTCCCCGATGGGCACTGTAAACGCTTCTACTCTTCACCTTGCACAGGATTTAAGGGGGTGCCCAATAAACTAGCCCCCTCGTGGGCAATCTAAAAAAAAAAAATCTACAAAGACTCCAACTTCTCAGACACCCCGCTGTCCCCAACTCTCAAGTGTTGTGGAGGCGTTGTCTGTACATTTTCCCCTTCTCAAAGAACAACCAACCCATACAGCTTCAGTACAAACTGTGCCCAAAGCATAGTTGAGATAAATACCTGTCAGACATCCAAGTTGCTTAACTAAGTGTTTCTGTGGTTTGTAAAAACCGAGTGTTGTAAATTCTTTGTGGAACCAACTACATTTGGTACAGCTGCTCGGAAGATGGCAACCGATATGTACAGTAGTTATCATATAAAAAAAACCAAACGCTACATCTAGATGGGGTCGGTGAAGGACTGGTTAACATTTATGAATATACTTTATATTATATCACATACATGTTTTGAGTTCAATGATTACAAAAATTTGACGGGAAAATAATTACAATGTTTTTCTCCTAATATGCAAGAAGTTTAGAAAGGATCCTGAACAATAACAAAATGCTTCTCTAAGGTGGTGCAGGTGTTAGAAGGGTTCAACTGTGGCTCCGTTGTCAACTCCGTCTACCCTGAAACAATAATGAGGTATATTAACGACAGTCATAAGTGGATATGATGGCTGGACCCTCGTAACCATAACCCCGGGTACACCTACTGTACAATAAAAACGGGGGAGACACGCGGCTTTTGTGACGACTACAGCAGGAAAACCCGGCCAGTGCCGTCCCAAGGCAGCTGAACACATGTCTGACGTAACATCCATGTCATCATTCGTGAGCGAACGTGAACATCACTTCCATTTTATTATACACATATGGCGGGAGGCAGAGTGTATGACAGTTTACGTGATCTGACATGGCAGTAGATATCTTACATTGCCTCTAAGTATGGTAAGTGAAGTGAGCGAAACGAAGACATTTCGACTGCCAATCAAATCGTTACTCAAGGGAAGAGAAAAGAGTAAATTTGGAATAAAGGTGGCGTGCTGACGACGAAGCTGACCACCAAGCTAAGTTCTGAATCCATGGCCTTCAATGTGGTAGACAATATGACGTCATTAAAAAAAGTATATGTAATTACCGCGGTGTTGTTATGTAGATAAGGTGAACACAACAGTACTGGTGTTTTCTGACCGCCCATACAAGGTACTGTCAGGTATGTGAACAAATTATCTAGAAAACTCTTGTGAACTCAATTTGTGGATATTTTCTGTTCCTAATTTGAGTGAATAGAGCTCGTTCATTCTGTGTGATTGGGTACATAACATTACAACTGGGGAAGTGAAGGCAATGAAATGCAGTGCTGGCCACGCTGCAAACAATGGTGCTTAAATTACCGTGTGCTCTATCCACAATGCCCCTAAGGCAGGGGTCACCAAACTTTTTTCACAGAGGGTCGGATAACTGAAAGAATGACGAGCGCGAGCCGCATAATCATTCTGTTCAATACTTGCAAGCCAGAACGAAAGCTCTGGTAACGTCAGAGCGTAGTTTTGAGCTACCACTAGCCGGGGAAGGATTTGGGATCCGGCCCGCGGGCCTTAGTTTGGTGACCCCTGCCCTTAGGGGACGGAACGTCAGGAGTGCGAGACCCATTGTCAGTTTTTAATTACCAAGAGAACACTTTATGCTCACGATTTGTTTGTTTGGTGTGTTTCGGGCTTACCTGTAGAATATTTATTGATTTCTAGACATATCTAAGAAATATTACCAGCTGTACAATATATGTTTGATGTTTTCAACTTAATTTTGCCTAAGATGGATAAATTCATCCAATGAACAAGAAAACAAGATATAAGGCGAAGTTAGTTTGAGGCGCATGTTGTCGTCTCTGACTTTCCATCCTCGGGGGTAGTTCTACAGCGGTCACAGTAAAAGCGTTTAAAAGCAGAACTAAAAGTACCTCTTTCGTCCTCAATTATTCATCAATAAACAGAGAGCGCGAGGTTCAGGCAAGAATAAAGGTGTTTCCGGTATAACCAACTGTCATGATCTGTGATGTCAGTTGGTAACCCACAGCAGCTTAAAGAGACTTATTTTCTAGATCTTTTTATATCATGGATCAAAAGCGGTTCAGCCACTTTTAAGCAAATTTTGATGACACACTCTGGAAGAACCAAGAAAATTAACAGGATAAGACGTAGGGACGCGGTTGAATTAAAGCGGGACCTTCTGTAAATCAAAATAGATTCTTCTCAGTATGTGTAGAGGACTGTGTGGGGGAGGCCAGTTGCATGGATAATTCTACTGATCCTCCAAAATAATTTTTAATCTCACGAGACTTTTGCTGTATATGAAAGTCAAATACCCTCCCTCCTTTACAGTTAGTTTTCAACAATACAGTCCATAATTTACTTATATTTCAAACAAATTCCCTTTTTTATGTAACTATTTTATCAATGACATTTTCCTGGAATCAAAAAGAGGTAATCAATTAATCAAATATAATATAAAATGTATTATCCTCGAGTTATACCTACACAGCATTATGTAACAGCATAAAACAACAATAACATTCAACAAGTCACGCCGAAATGTTTTTACCTGAAATGTGTAACAAATTAAAGCACTAATGACGTAACACGCACCATGGCCATGTTTGTACTGTACACAGATGGTTAAGTGGTGTCTACGGAAAACATATCCCGAAATATTCTCCTCTAACATTTTGAGGTGTTGTAGGATGTCTTGGTTTGTAGACTGTCATGGTTTGTAACAAATGCATTGTTCTCCGAGTGTATAATTTACTTTCATTGTTTTGTCTTTAAGAATTATTTCATTAGACTTAGCATGATTGAGGGAATGTTACCATTTCTTTACACCTTCTAGGAGCATGAAGGGAAAATATCTTCTTTTATAGTACAAAAACAAAATTGAACATCAGAACATTTCTAGTACAAGAGTATATCCATGTAACTATATATAACTGTATTAATTAAAAATGCGGCAAGTCACTTTATAAATGTCTAGTAACTTTTTATGTACACTTTATATATATATATATATATATATATATATATATATATATATATATATATATATATATATATATATATATATATATATATATATATATATATATATATATATATATATATATATATATATATATATATATATATATATATATATATATATATATATATATATATATCATAGAGAGAGAGCGATGTGGTACAATTAGGGACTCTAGTCACAAGGAGCGTGTAGTGGGGAGGAGGGCGATTTTGGGTACATCCTGTGTTGATAATATTGACACCAATACTTGCAAGTACACGACAGCTGGTGTACAAGTTGTGTAGTAACATACTGTACAGGTCGGTAATAATTTTGTATTTTCAGTTGCCGACCAACCCTGAAAGAAGAAGATGAAGGTGCTCTTTGTTCTGAATCAACTGGCATAAACACGTTAAAGTCCTGTGACAGGAAGGACGCCAGTGGCTTCTTTGATCCACATTTAGTTGGCGATGACTCTGCTCTTCAATATCCAGTATTAATAAACGAAGATGCTGAAGTACCTGTTGAACACATGGCCATATTCGGTAGTCTCACAGCCGACCCAAGCTGGTATGGATCCCTCCTCACAATCCTGAGAGGTAAATGCGATTCCGCTTTACCACCGTCACCCTAATATACGTGCACTAAATAAGGACATAAATTGTTTTAATATTTTCCTTAACAAGTGCAGTATATAGTGAGGAAAACCTCTTTTACGCTCAAGAAGTAAAACTAACTCCTAAGTTGTCTTTTATCATCACCAGGAGGACGATAACCTGGCACTCTTAAATAAAAGGGAGGAGGACACTTACTCGTCCGTTGACTTTATCACTGGCTGGCTGTCAGACTCGGAGGGCTGGTCCCGCACTAAGCCTCTACGACGCAGGAAGGGGAGGATCAGCACGTCATTGTACAGCATCATCCCCACTACTAGCACCACGTAACCTATTGGCTGAAAGTGGACCAATTGGAGGTACATATTAGTGTCGGTATCTTAATCACATCCTCTTATCTAGCAACGACAAACGAGAGTTAACAGTCAGTGTTGATTTTGCAATGATTCCCAAAGACCAATGGGAGGGATGACATACTGCTGATATCATATTGGTTAGCAAAACGACGAATGGGACGTGTTGGTTCATATCATAATAAGATTCTAATGGCCGATGAAAAGACCAAAAAGACTTGCGTCATATTGGGTGCTGATATAGCCTATTGCCATTACCTGAGTCATTCACAGGGCGGAGTAAGTAGTTTGTTGGTGGTAGATGTACGAGTATCACTGTTACCTGTGTGATGATATAGTTGAGTATAACCACATGACTCATCGTGACTCACCTCGTGTTACCAGACTCACCTGGAGGTACTAGAAGGTCTGTCAGTGACTGAAGGTACTAGAAAGTCTGTTAGTGACTCACCTGGAGGTACTGGAAGGTCTGATAGTGACTCACCTAGAGGTACTGGAAGGTCTGATAGTGACTCACCTAGAGGTACTGGAAGGTCTGATAGTGACTCACCTAGAGGTACTGGAAGGTCTGATAGTGACTCACCTAGAGGTACCGGAAGGTCTGATAGTGACTCACCTAGAGGTACTGGAAGGTCTGATAGTGACTCACCTGGAGGTACTGGAAGGTCTGATAGTGACTCACCTGGAGGTACTGGAAGGTCTGCCACCTGAGGGCGAGAGTCACAAGCCAGATGACAAGAGTCCTAACGGAGTCGAGAACCATCCTGGTTGTGGCCGAGAACTCCTTTGTGACGCTCACGCCAGCGAAGTTGAAGAAGGCGATGCTGATGATGGTTACTGAGTGGGTGGGAAATGGTGATGAGTGGGAAGAAGGTGGTGTTGAGTGGGAGGGTGTGATGAGTGAGAGGTATGGTGGTGTTGAATGAAAGGGTGGTAGTGACGAGTGGGAAGTGTGATGGTGATGAAAAGTTAGATGGATGTGACAAGATTATGGATGGTATCAACAACCAAAATGGTAATAATGTAGCACACACAGATGAAGGACACCAAGAAAAGGGAAGCAAGGATAGAGAGAAGCAGAAACAAGAAACAGCCTTCAAGTTACAGAGAATATCAACCACTTTGACACCACCGGTGAAGAGAGAGAGGAGAACATGCTTGACTTAGTAACTTACAGATGATGGAAGCCACTAAGGTTCCACTGTTGGACAGCTGGACGAAGGCGTCTATGGCGTCCTCCAGGACCCCCCGCTCGTTGCCGCTGAACTTGCCGGCGGGGATGTAATACATCGGCACCAGCAGCACCGATAATGTCAAGAACCCAAACACTCCTGCACAAAGATGAAACTGTAATGGTTTGGAAAAAATTTTGGGTGAAGTTTAGTCAAATGAATGCGTGTGGAAAATATATGGACTCATTAACAGTTGGTTTGGTCTAGAAAACGTGTTGATGCTGGAAAGTAAATTGATTAGGAAAAATAACTAATTCTGAAAAATATGGTTCTCAGATCTCAAAGTAAATGTTTTCACATTAAACTCCTTAACTCTAGCACTATGTTAGATAGAAACTTTAAGTTGAAAGTTATTACAAGCCTCTCCCACCCTGTACTTTGACAGAGTACCGCATCAGAGGCTTCTGAGAAAAGTTAAGGCTCATGGTATCGAGGGGAAAGTTTTAAATTGGATAAAATCATGGCTCACCAATAGAACACAGAGGGTCAGCGTAGGTGGTGTTAAATCTGAGTGGGGCTGTGTAACCAGTGGGGTTCCCCAAGGGTAAGTACTTGGCCCACTCTTGTTCATAATCTACATAAACGATGTAGATACTGGGATCAGCAGTGACATAAGCAAGTTTGCGGATGACACCAAAATAGGGCGGCAGATTAATTCAGGGTAGGATGCAAATGCACTACAGGAGGATCTAAATAAACTGCAGGAGTGGTCAGAAAAATAGCAAATGAAATTCAACACCAGCAAGTGCAGCGTACTTAATATTGGAAGAACAAATACTGTCAATGTATACAGCCTTAACAACATCAACCTGGGTAACCCAGACTGTAGGGATAAGACTAAGACAAGCCTAGCAAGCCAGCGGGGAAGCTTAGTAAAGTTCTCCGCTACTGGTACTGTGACCCACTTGTTCCATTATATTTTAAGGGAAATCCGAATAAACTGCCACTGTATCCTGACCTTTCATCTGAAGAGTAGATTTAACTGTGGCTTCCTGAAGAGAACCAGGCACTTTACCTGACTTCTGAGATATTACACTACCTTCAGGTACCATATTCTATCATATCACAGTGGTCCGTCACTACACGAACATCTGCTGACTCAGCACACCCTCTGCCACAGCTGACCACTTGTCACATTAATCTTTATCACGCTACTCATCTTTCACAAGTCACAGTTGTAAGAAGAATTACACGAATAAAACGGCAAATTTTCTTGGACTCGTCACTCTGAGTGGATCACTGAAAAAATTATTTCCTTTATGTAAATGTGTTGATCTCCTCACGATGTGTTGCTGTTTCAGTGTTAACAGTAATGATTCCACAAACAATGAATAGCACCAAACATACAGAGTCAATTCCTCTCTGATAAATCATCTCCCAAGGTCAGTTCTGGCTGACCTACCCCTGTACACATACGCACCTAATTGCAACCGCGAATTTGGGAAGCACCTTATGCAAGCAGACCACGGACGTTATATAAAATGTATAGCAAGTTTCATGTGACGTATGTAAAATAATCGTGAACTCAGTTTTAATAGTCAGTCAACCAAAAGTGGAAAGTGGAAAAACTGGCTCCACAGATGACATCATGAAGCTTGTTATGGGCGTGGTGAGCTTGGTATGGGTGTGGTATGGGCGTGGAGCATATAATGTGGGTGTAGTCAACATGTTATGGGTGTAGGGAGTGTGGTAGAGGGGGGATGTAGTGAGCGTGGCATGAGGGTGACCTGGGCGTATACAGTACGTACCTTCCCAGCCCACAACCATCAGGGGCGGCGCTTTATACTTGGCCAAGAATTTCTCCTCGACAACCATCTGGGTGGCCGTAAAAACCTGAGCTGCCACTATCAACAAGTCCCCTGAAACACGATATGTATTATACACCATACAACACTGATGTATTATACACCATGCAACACTGGTGTATTATACGCCATAAATCACTGATAATTTATACACCATACAACATTTATCTATATTATACACCATACAACACTGGTGAATTATACACCATACAACACTGATGTATTATACACCATACAACACTGGTGAATTATACACCATACAACACTGATGTATTATACACCATACAACACTGATGTATTATACACCATACAACACTGGTGTATTATACGCCATAAATCACTGATAATTTACTCACCATACAATATTTATCTATTATACACCATACAACACTGATGTATTATACACCATACAACACTGGTGTATTATACGCCATAAATCACTGATAATTTACACAGCCATACAATATTTATCTATTATACACCATACAACACTGATGTAATATACACCATACATCACTGATGTATTATACACCATACAACACTGATGTAATATACACCATACATCACTGATGTATTATACACCATACAACACTGATGAGTTATACACCATACAACATTTATATATTTTACACCATACAACACTGATGCATTATACACCATACAACACTGATGAGCTATACACCATACAACACTGATGTATTATACACCATACAACACTGATGAGTTATACACCATACAACTGATGTATTATACACCATACAACAATGATGTATTATACACCATACAACACTGATGAGTTATGCATCATATAACACTGATGAGTTATACACCATACATCACTGGTGTATTATACACCATACATCACTGATGAGTTATACACCATACAACACTGGTGTACTATACACCATACATCACTGGTGTATTATACACCATACATCACTGATGAGTTATACACCATACAACACTGGTGTATTATACACCATACATCACTGAAGTATTATACACCATACAACACTGATGTATTATACACCATAAAACACTGATGTATTATACACCATACAACACTGATGTATTATACACCATACAACACTGATGTATTATACACCATACAACACTGATGTATTATACACCATAAAACACTGATGTATTATACACCATACAACACTGATGTATTATACACCATACAACACTGATGTATTATACACCATACAACACTGGTGTATTATACACCTTAAAACACTGATGTATTATACACCATACAACACTGATGTATTATACACCATACAACACTGATGTATTATACACCATACAACACTGGTGTATTATACACCTTAAAACACTGATGTATTATACACCATACAACACTGATGTATTATACACCATACAACACTGATGTATTATACACCATACAACACTGATGTATTATACACCATAAAACACTGATGTATTATACACCATACAACACTGATGAATTATACACCATACATCACTGATGTATTATACACCATACATCACTGATGAGTTATACACCATAAAACACTGATGTATTATACACCATACAACACTGATGTATTATACACCATACAACACTGATGTATTATACACCATACAACACTGATGTATTATACACCATACAACACTGGTGTATTATACACCTTAAAACACTGATGTATTATACACCTTAAAACACTGATGTATTATACACCATACAACACTGGTGTATTATACACCATACAACACTGAAGCATTATACACCATAAAACACTGATGAATTATACACCATACATCACTGATGTATTATACACCATACATCACTGATGAGTTATACACCATACAACACTGATGAGTTATACACCATACAACACTGATGAGTTATACACCATACAACACTGATGTATTATACACCATACAACACTGATGTATTATACACCATACAACACTGTTGAGTTATACACCATACAACACTGATGTATTATACACCATACAACACTGATGTATTATACACCATACAACACTGGTGAGTTATACACCATGCAACGCTATTGAGTTATACACCATGGAACACTGAAGTATTATACACCATACAACACTAATGAGTTATACACCATATATCACTGATGTATTATACACCATACAACACTGTTGAGTTATACACCATGCAACACTGAAGTATTATACACCATACAACACTGATGAGTTATACACCATACATCACTGTTGTATTATACACCATACAACACTGATGTATTATGCACCATACAACACTGATGAGTTATACACCATACATCACTGATGCATTATACAACACTGTTGAGTTATACACCATACAACACTGATGAGTTATACACCATACATCACTGTTGTATTATACACCATACAACACTGATGTATTATGCACCATACAACACTGATGAGTTATACACCATACATCACTGATGCATTATACAACACTGTTGAGTTATACACCATACAACACTGATGAGTTATACACCATACAACACTGATGTATTATGCACCATACAACAGTGATGAGTTATACACCATACAACACTGATGAGTTATACACCATACAACACTGATGCATACACCATACACTGATGAGTTATACACCATACAACACTGATGAGTTATACACCATACAACACTGATGTATTTGGACCATACAACACTGATGAGTTATACACCATACAACATGATAGTTATACACCATACAACACTGATGTATTATGACCATACAACACTGATGAGTTATACACCATACAACACTGATGACTACAATACAACACTGATGTATTATACACCATACAACACTGATGAGTTATACACCATACAACACACTATACAACACTGATGTATTATGCACCATACAACACTGATGTACACCATACAACACATACAACACTGATGTATTATGGACCATACAACATTGATGAGTTATACACCATACAACACTGATGAGTTATACACCATACAACACTGATGAGTTATACACCATACAACACTGATGTATTATGCACCATACAACACTGATGAGTTATACACCATACAACACTGATGAGTTATACACCATACAACACTGATGAGTTGTACACCATACAACACTGATGAGTTATACACCATACAACACTGATGAGTTGTACACCATACAACACTGATGAGTTATACACCATACAACACTGATGTATTATGCACCATACAACACTGATGAGTTATACACCATACAACACTGATGAGTTATACACCATACAACACTGATGAGTTATACACCATACAACACTGATGAGTTATACACCATACAACACTGATGAGTTATACACCATACAACACTGATGAGTTATACACCATACAACACTGATGTTATACACCATACAACACTGATGTATTACACCATACAACACTGATGAGTTATACACCATACAACACTGATGTTATACACCATACAACACTGATGAGTTATACACCATACAACACTGATGAGTTATACACCATACAACACTGATGAGTTATACACCATACAACACTGATGTATTATACACCATACAACACTGATGAGTTATACACCATACAACACTGATGAGTTATACACCATACAACACTGATGTATTATGCACCATACAACACTGATGAGTTATACACCATACAACACTGAGTTATACACCATACAACACTGATGTATTATACACCATACAACACTGATGAGTGATGAGTTATACACCATACAACACTGATGTATTATGACCATACAACACTGATGAGTTATACAACACTGATGTACAACACTGATGAGTTATACACCATACAACACTGATGTATACAACACAGTTATACACCATACAACACTGATGAGTTATACACCATACAACACTGATGAGTCACTGATGTATTATGCACCATACAACACTGATGAGTTATACACCATACAACACTGATGAGTTATACACCATACAACACTGATGATACACCATACAACACTGATGTATTACCATACAACACTGATGAGTTATACACCATACAACACTGATGAGTTATACACCATACAACACTGATGTATTATGCACCATGCAACACTGATGAGTTATACACCATACAACACTGATGTATTATACACCATACAACACTGATGAGTTATACACCATACAACACTGATGAGTTGTACACCATACAACACTGATGTATTATACACCATACAACACTGATGAGTTATACACCATACAACACTGATGAGTTATACACCATACAACACTGATGTATTATGCACCATACAACACTGATGAGTTATACACCATACAACACTGATGAGTTATACACCATACAACACTGATGTATTATGCACCATACAACACTGATGAGTTATACACCATATAACACTGATGAGTTATACACCATACAACACTGATGAGTTATACACCATACAACACTGATGAGTTATACACTATACAACACTGATGAGTTATACACCATACAACACTGATGAGTTGTACACCATCAACACTGATGAGTTGTATACCATACACCACTGGTGTATTATACAACATACAGCATTGACTTATTAATTATACAGCAGCCAACAGTGTGTGTAACAGACGTGACCGATCGGTGGTAGGTTGTAGTACTGAAGGTGGTGTTAGTGATGTTGATGGTGGTGAGAGTGGTGATGATTGGTAGTGATGTGATGTGGTGGTGGTAGTTGTAGTAGTGGTGGTGATGTGATGGTTTCATGGTGGTAGCTGTAGTATTGATGGTGGTGGTAGTTGTAATGGCGGTGGTAGTGTGATGTGGTGGTGGTGATGTGATGTGGTCATGGTTGTTGTGGTTTTAATAGTGGTGGTGGTATTTTTGCTCTCTCTCTCTCTTTCTCTCTCTCTCTCTCTCTCTCTTGCTTACCGGTGATGATGCCGTTGATATCATATTTGTCCTCCCCGGAGACGAGGAAGTCCGAGAAGCCGACGATGATAAGGCCGCCGATGACGATAACGATGCCCAGCCAGTGGAAGTACCTGAGGCGACGACCTAAGAACGCCACCGACAGTAACCCCGTGAACACGATGACAGCACCTGAGAACCAATGACAGGTGTTAGGTGATGGGGAGGGAGCCACTAAATGACAGGTGTTAAATAAGACAGAGGTCGTCACTTAATAACAACATACGGTATGTAGGATGAATGAAGGGGGGGGGGATTCACTTAACAATGACAGGTGTTAATGAAGGGGGGGCTGAACATCTAATAATAACATGTGTTAATTTAAACTAAGTGGATGTAACCACCTCTTCCTATCTCCTTCCACTTTCACCTCCCCCCCCAACTCCTCTCATCTTGTCTTACCTCCTCCTAACTCTCCCACCCCCCCCACCTTCTACCTCCTCCCACCTCCCCCACTTCTTTCACCTCCCTCACCTATTAATAGACGTAACGAACTGTCTAACTAATACTATCAATTAGACCCAGTCATCATTCTGTTAAACAGTACTGGCATAAAGGACGAAAGTAAGCTGAAAATTTTTGGCTACACTGTATACCAGAGGAACATGACCGGTGAGCTGAACGATGGTGTCGCTGTGGCCATCAGGTCACGGCTGAGTCACAGAGTGTTGCCACACTTCGAGGATTCAGTTCTGGGAGTGCAGGTGGAGACAACTAGGGGACCTGCTATCATATGCACAATGTACCTACCTCCCAGACGTCCTTACTTACCCGAACAAGACCTCAACCAGTTGCTACGCCACAGAAAACCAACATACATCATAGGGGACTTAAATGCGCGCCACGCCATACTAGGACACGGTAATGAGAACAACGTCGGTGTGGCGCTGTATGACAACGTCAGAAGGGGAAAACTGCAACACCTCGGGCCAGATTTCCCGACATTGATCAGACGTGCCAGTGCCACAACACCCGACATAATCCTCTCTAACAACGAGGCCGTCCTGAACAGGCACGTTACCCCCGGACCCATCAGTACCAGTGATCACCTGCCAGTCGTCGTGACGCTCTCATCCAATCTCATTATAATCCCCACCAACATCAGGTCAAACCTCAAACGGGCAGACTGGGACTCCTTCAAGGAGTCTCTCAGTCTCAAGCAGGGGAGAAACCTGGAAGAAGCCAGCCCCAATGACATCGACGACGCGGTCGAACAATGGTATACGGATGTGAAGACGGAGATGGACAACAACATCCCGACCACCAGTTACAGGACCATTCCCCATCCTCACACTAGTCACCAGCTGAGGCAGCTCAGTGTCCAGTACGCTCACGTGAGACAGCTAGCCAGTATCCGCGGGTGGACGCAAGAGCTGAGAGAGCGGTACCGAGAGCTACAGACGGACATCCAGCACGAGAGCAAACGTCTACATGAACAAAAGTGGGCCGCCTTGGTGTGGGAGGCAGCCAACAATTATCGCGATTCTGCTGCCTTCTGGAAAGGGATCAAGCGACTGATGGGTTCCACCTCTAGCACGGTCCCTTACCTGCTCAACCAAAACAACGTAAAAATATTCGAGGAAGAAAACCAAGAACAACTACATCGGCGATATTTACGAAAGATCTTTACCATTAGTGAACAGGAGAACGAGGGCTTCGACAGGGAGTTTGAGGAGGACATTTTAGGTCAGTTGCAGGACCATCAGCACCTACTCCAGCCGCTCCCACGGACTGACTTCACTAGACTGGTGGACGGAAGCTACCTGACGGAGCCCATAGTTCCTGCAGATGTGTCAGCCGTCATAAAAGGGTTTAAAAACAAATCACCTGGTCAAAGTCACATTAACAAGAAGATCCTAGCTCAACTCCCCGACAACATGATAGAGAGGCTTGCTCATATATGCAACGCCTGCCTCGCCTCTGGATACTTCCCTAAGATGTTCAAAATCGCCGTTATTCGCCTCATACCAAAAGCAGGGAAGCCTCCAAACAAAGTCGAAAACTTTCGACCAATATCGCTGCTAGAGGTACCTGCCAAAATCTTCGAAAAAATAGTCAACAAGCGATTGCGGATGTATCTGGAGGACGAAGACGTGCATAATCCCCGCCAGTTCGGCTTCCGCCAGTACCGAGGCACATCCACCGCCATAGCTCAGGCCTACGAGCAGATCGCCAATGCCATGACTGGCCGCCTGCAGTGCAATATAATACTGAGGGACGTCAGCAAGGCGTTTGACAAAGTTTGGCACGCAGGGCTGCAGTATAAGATCATACAACTGGGGCTACCCGAAAATCTGACGCGCCTGCTGTGCAACTTCATTATGGACCGCAGAGCCAAAATCAAGATGCAAGAACATTTTGGAGAAGAATTCTCACTATCGAGCGGCGTGCCTCAGGGCTCTTGTCTCTCACCAACCCTTTACACACTCTACACGGCTGACCTGCCACCCCCAATCGTCGGCAGCGAGTACGTCATGTATGCCGACGATGTAACACAGATCGTCACCTGCCCAGGAAGGTCCACAGCAAGGATGGCGCGACTCACTGCTCGGGCAATAGAGGAGATCTCGGAGTATGAACATAAATGGAAAATAAAAACAAACAAAACGAAATTTGAGGTCATACCCATAGCCAAATTCAAGCCGGCCCCATTGATGATCGACGACGAAGAGATTGAGTACTCTAAACAAGGCAGGTTGCTCGGCCTCATCATTTCTCGGACGGGCATCATTCCCCACGTGAAGGACAGACTAAATAAAGCCAAAGTCGCCGCAGCCAAATTAAAACGTTTTAAATTGATGCCTGAGAAGATACAAGCTCACCTGTACAAGGCGCTGGTGAGGCCTGTGTTGGAGCTTCCAAAACAAGTGTTTGAGATCAGCCAGTGACCAAGCGCCACCCTACCAGGAGACAGTGGAAACCATCCACCTAAGAAATAAAACAGAGGCCCTCAACTTCAGGTTCCATCGCCTAGGGAAGAAGGTTTGGGACAAGCTCCTGGACGACCCTCACAGCCCAGACCACCTACGCGGGGAAGACATCAACGGAGGGAGACCCCACGCCTGGTGGCCCCGGAGTCTGCCCGCACTACAACAACCCAACCCGCGACCCATCTATGTCCGCCACAGTGATCCACCTTAGATTAAAACTTAGATGATATAAACTCACATTTAACAAGTCACAATCAAGTGAGTCCATAACGTAATACAGTATAAGATGTTAATAAACTTGTAATTGTAAAATCAATCTAGTCATTGTCTACTAAAATAACCATTGTGCAACCTCATTATAAATCCTAGGTTAGCTTAGTTAGCCAACAAACTCTGTAATATGTAAAACAAGGGGTGTCGTCCCCCTCTGTTTAACTCATTAAACTTCTTTTCCAACCTTTGCCCCCACGACTATATGTTGTGACTTCTCCATCCCTCATGTCTGGCTGTGCCTTGAGCCCCAGCATGCCTTCCATCCTTTCCCCACCTAAACCTAAAAAAAAAACAAAAACAAAAAAACAACCCTGCTCCACATACCTCTCAACATCTGGAAGGAGCTGGAGTAGGTGAGCGTCAGTCCGAGGTACATCATGGAGGTAGCAGTGACATCACAAATGGCGGGCAGGTAGAAGATGTAGCGGGGAACGTCCACCACCTGCCGCAAACACCAACACCTTAGTACTGTACTGTGTAACTTTGTCGTGCACCATCGGTATGTCCTTAACTGATCACTGTGTTATGGGAGGCTCATCATACTTCATGACTTTAGGTGAGGCCGACTCCTTTTAATTCTCTGTCAACACACACACACACACACATGGTTAATGAAACAAAACAACACAACAGACCAGGCCATGTTAGCTAGGTGACTCACCTGGTGAGGGTCAGGCGCCATCTCTACCGTGTCACGTTGAGACCTTCGAGTGATCATCAGCTGTAGGTAGAAGGTCGCCAGGCCTGTGACGTGACAATAGGGATCATGATATTATTTGTTATTATTACATCTTACACTTCCTATTGTCAATATCAACATTATTAAAAATTATGACTAAAATTCGTTCATTAACAAAACTATCATCATCAAAAAAGATTGGCAATTGGAAAGATAAACTATATTATGGATGATCAGTGGTTCATCTTAACACAAAACACCCAAAAACTGCAATTAATGAAAATACTAATGATCGTATTTAGTTTTAGGCTCGAATTACGCTAAGAACTCAAGGACCTTAAGATTAGTGCGCTGTATGAGATATCAGTGTGATATCTGATTAGTCAGTTACATTATGTGGTTTTAGAACACCGATTATTAAGTTGATAAAGAAGTGTCTCTGCAGGTCACGTCACTGATGTGATACAGTAATACTTGACTCAACTCCAGCTCAAGTAACTTCGTTGACACAAATAGCTGCACTAAGCCACTTACTTCGAAATAAAGAAATAAAAAAAAAGAGGGAAGGACAAACTGATTAAGATAAATAAGTATCAAGAGAGAGGGACAGAGAAAAATAGAGAGAAAGGTACACTCATTGAAAGAGAGACAAACAGAAAGACATACGACGTACATACAAACAGAAAGAGAGACTGACAGGGATAGACCGACAGGCAGAAGGACTGAAAGACAGACAGCTGAAAGTCAAAGACAGATAGAGAGACAAACAGCTAAAATGACAGACAGACAAACAAAGAAAAAGAGACAATGAGAGGCTACTTACAGAGCATCTCCCCAATAAACATGCAGTCTGCCTGGAAGAACGGGTGACTGAAGGTGGTCTTGTGCCCTTGTCTGTTCACCGACTGGATGCGATCAGCCCACCTGCAACGCACACATTACTCCCTCAGTAAGTTGCTTCACACACACATACACAAAACATCACACCTACACCATAACTTGCTACAGACCTACATAACACTACCAAAACTACATCTACGCAATAATTATATATCTACCCACACACACACATACACTTACACATACACTTACACATGCACAACACTTTCATACATCCACTCATACACTTCCATACACCCACACACAAACTTACACAACACTTACATACACCCACACATAAACTTACACAACACTTACATACACCCACACATAAACTTAAACAACATTTACATTCACCCACACATAAACTTACACAACACTTACATACACCCACACACAAGCTTACACAACATTTACATACACCCGCACATACACTTACACAACACTTACATACACCCACACACAAACTTACACAACACTTACATTCACCCACACATAAACTTACACAACATTTACATACACCCACACATACACTTACACAACACTTACATACACACATACATTTACATATACCCACACATACACCCGAACACCACTTACACATACACCCACATATACACTTACATACACCCACACATACACTTACCTACACCCACACATATACTTACACAACACTTATATACAGTACATCCACACATACACCTACACAACACTTACATACATCCACACATACACTTACACAACAGTTACATAATCCTAACATACACCTATAAAACACATACACCCACACATACACCTACACAAAACTTACATACACCTACACAACACTTACATACACCCACACATATACTTACATACACCCACGCATACAATTACATACACTTACATACACCCACACATACACCTACATATACACTTACATACACCCACACATACACCTACACAACACTTACACCCACATATACACTTACATACACCCACACATACACCTACACATCACTTACATACACCCACACATACACCTACACAACACTTACACCCACATATACACTTACATACACCCACACATACACTTACACAACATTTACATGCACCCACACATACAATTACATTCACCCACACATATACTTACATACACCCACACACACACCCACACAACACTTACTTGGCAGTGAGGGTGTTGATGGAGCCGGTGAAAACCATCACCAAAGCCAAGACCATTTGTTTTCCGGTCCACCCCATCTCGGCTCCACCTAGATCCCTCAAGGTTGCTACACTGGCTTAGTGGCTTGAGGGTCGTCCTGGAAGGTACTGTAGGTTGGTGCACAATCTAATGTCTTGGTGCCTTAGGAGTCGTCCCAGAAGGTAGAGCGTCTTGATGATTTTCGTTTAACTGTTCAGAGAATTTAAGATGGTGTAAGGTCGCGCTGATTTTAGGAAAAGTAGACGTCTCTTTAACTAGTTGGTACTAAGACGAGACCATTTGTATCGAATCCCGTGGAAGAGTGACGCGAGTAGTGCTGTTTGTTGTAAGTTACAACAAGCGTAGTGCTTATTTATGGAAACTTTAGAAAGAATCAAGTGGTAGTGAGTTTTAATGTTTCTTGTAGGAGTAGTAGTAGCGATCCTCGAACACCCATGTTGTCTTACAAAGGGGAAAATTTTTATGGAAATCGCATAGGAGAAGCGGAAGCAAGACGGCAGGCAGTGTTACAAGCGGATGTTGAATAACGCGATGAATTAATACTACCTCAATTTAAATATCGGTAAAAACGCATAAACAACATTACTATTACTTGGTATAAAGGAAACAACAGCAGTAACTGCAGGAATATGCTACCACAATATGCTGCTGTTTTAAAGAGAGCAACAACGCTCAACTACCCATTTTTTTAACTAAAAGGTTATTATGGTATGAGCCACCCGGAACTACAGATTCTCGTAAAAAAGACAAATGATATCAGCAGCAATACTATACAGCACTAGCTCTAACAGCAGTAGAAGACGTAGCAGTACCTACTGTAGTGCCACAAACTATTGCAGTGGAGGAAGCAAACTTGAGCGTCAACAGAAGGTCGTCACTGCTACACACTGGGACTATCACCAAGTCGTGGTTTGCTTCCCGCAGCCCGCAGGTTATCCGTAACGCCCCTCACTATTGTCACTAACCCGCTGTTTGTTTACAAATCTTCTTTCTGGACCAATTGTTGTATGCATTATATTCCACCATTTTTTGTTCATTGTTTATGGATAGTTATCATTGAATGTTACCTTTAGCTCTTGTTATTCATAATAATAATATTGTTAGTTTCATTCTCTCATTCTCCTCTGTTGATTATTTGGTTGGTTCCTTTAATGATAAAAATCAGTGATTGTAACAACAATAAACCAGAAAAAAAGGTGTTAACGCTAGAATACAATATTTAGCACAGAACCTAACGCACATGTCTGCTCTATTTTATAATTATTGTTAATTTTCCTTTGTTCATAATTACTCTATCACTTTCACATGTGGGGGTGAACATATCTATCACACTATTACATTATTGTGGTAAAAGATACTGTACGTGTGGGGCGATCCAGCAGCCTGCGGACACTGTTAACATATTTCTTCGGTTTATAGTTTTGTGCGTACGTCGTTTCATGTTTGTGATGTGAAAATTCATGAAGTATGTTTACTGTTGGGTTGTTTGTTTATACCCAAGTTTTTGCGTCGCCAAGTGTAAGTACCACGACCAATCAATCAATCAATTTGTTTATTAATGCATGTATTATTCATTACCATTATCTCAAACCAATCACCCATACTCTTCACTTTTAGGTTATTTAACCAAAGGTTAGAAAAAGGGACGAGGGGATAATAACAGAAATATTAATGGGCAAGGCAGAGATTGGGATGGACGAAGGAAACTAAAAACTGGGTCCCCAGAGAGATACAGAATCTTGGAGGAGCTTTAAAAAAAACGAAAAAACAAAAAAACATAACATCTCGAGTGAAGCACTGTGATCGTAAACCTATAGATATGTCCGACACTCCGCGTGAGCCAGTTAATTCACCTCACATGTTCACTCTGCTGTAATGAACAAGTCAAAATAGTTCGCCATAGTGCATACTGACACGGGACAGTTTTATTTTGCTTATAATTGTTGGCAAGCTGTTTTACCTTCTCTCCTTCTTTGGTGAGGATGGGGGTCATGTGTCCACAGAGGTGGTTCAGTGCTGCCCCCCTTCCTCCTTGACTTAACCCAGGTGGTATAATATGTGGTAATGACATTTACAAGATCACAGCAAAATTCATCCACTGACCCAGGTGTATATACAGCATACCATCTGTGAATGTAAGCCTTGAAGTGCAGTTTAAGATTATCTGGGATGTTAATTCTGAGCTTAGGATGGGATTCACACTTGACATCAGCAACAGTGTATTCAGTAAGTATTGCATAATGATCACTGACTAGGTGATCTGAGATGACCCTTAGCCTTGACATTACTGTCTACTAGGTTATACCCAATCACATAATCAAGTCTGTCCCCCCTCAGATGTGTCACTTTGTCTGTGTCGTATACAGTGATATTATGATTATTGATGTAATTCACGAACACCCTCCCATTAGAGTTACACTGGACATCACCGAGGACAGTGTGACGAGAGTTAAAGTCACCCATACACAGCATAGCATTGTTACCAGATGGCTTTGGTAACACGTCCGCTCGCAGCTCATTACACCGAACATAGGTGTTATACAACTGACTGTTTGCTGTCTTTCTGTAAATTGTTGATAGTGAATACTTTCTTCATTGTGAGTTTTGATCCATTTACAGACCAGACCATTCTTTACACAAGTGAGCAGGCCACTTCCTGCTCCACTATTGTATGCTGTAAACCCAGCTATCCTGGGTGCAGCTTTCTTCTGGGTACTGGACGTGTAAGGTTCTTGTAAACCAATTACATCAATGTTAAAAACTTTAACAAACCATTGTATGTCATTAATTCTACGGTTAACACTCCGGATGTTCCATGAAATGAACCTAAGCATTCGCGTTACTCGTTCCACCTTGAACTGAGTATAGAGAGTCGCGCGTTGGCTTCATAGATCAACCTGACCAATAAGTTAAACCGTTTCAAATTCATCACCCTTGCAGTTCTTGATAATGCGTCTCACAGCCCTTATTCCAGGACATCAGCTCTGTCATGTTCTTTAAGGTCTATGTGAGAGGGGATCCACAACAGTTTGATCTTGACATCCCGGTCAACAAGGTACGTATATTTGTGTCTGGCTTCGGAGACAAGCGCGTGATAACTTGAGTTGAGGGTGTCAAGGCCAAGTAGTGAGGATAGAGAATCAGTGATGATGAGACTGTCAGTGACAGTGGCTTCAATAAATTTAATATGTGTGAGTATGGCAACTAATTCAGTTTGCAGAGTGGATGCCCAGTTATTAATTCTAACTCCTTTTTCAATTATATTACCGTCAGGTTGAGTCACAACAATTATTATATCTTTGACACTGGGTATACCTAGTTTTTTCCTCATATTAAGTACATTAGTTCTCATGGGACAGTCTAGGATAATTCTGAGGGCTTTATTTTGCATTTTTTCGAGCTTTTCAATGACTTTCCCATTACGAAGGACCAGGGCCGGTGCGTGGTAATCTATCAGAGATCTTATATAGACTAGGTGCATTGTTTTAAAAATTATAATATTAGCACCATAATGTGGGCTGTACCCCGCTACACTTCTAAGAGGTTTCAGTCTGTCAGTACATCGGCGGGTTAGCTGTTGTATGGCAGGTAAAGTACAAGGGACGGAGACACCAAGATATTTAAAAGAAGAAACCTAGTCAATAGCGTTGTTAACTATCTTGAATTTGGCGGGGCCGCGTTTGCGGTTACCAGTTTGTTTGTTGAACACCTTAGTTTTCTCAGTGGGGATAATAAGACCGAGGTTCTCAAAGGCTGTGTGTACAATGAAAGACAAAAGTCGTGTCGTGAAATTTGGTGAAAACATATGCCGAAGGACTAAACTTCTGGTGCGCTCTGCCTTGTGGTAGGGGGCTCTCATAATGTTTCACGAGTTATATTTAATCTTCGGACAAAACAGCGACACGACTTTTGTCTTAGATTGTAATTGGTTCAGGGTGGTTTGCAATTCACGATGAGTTTTAGTATGTTAAAGAATATCATCAGCATAGCTGATTGTGATATTGCTGGGGTTGTCTGGTATTGAATTTAAAAATGCATTCATAAGAACATTGAACAAAATAGGACTACTCCACCTTGAGGGGTGCCAAGTTGTATATCTTTAACTTCGCTTTTGTAATCCTGAAACAGTGCCGCAGCCCTTCTGTTGGTTAGGTAACCACTTATCCAGTGTAAGTTGAGAAAGCGGCACAGGTAAGGTCATAGTCAGATAGTATCGGGATGACAGTGACATGTTGACCCACCTGTGGGAAAACCAGATGATGTGCCATGATAAACGACACTCTTTGTTATGTAATGAGTATTGTGTTATGTAGTGTGTGTGTGTGTGTGTGTTAATATATGGTGAGAGCAGAAGTGTAAGTGTGTCAGAGCGTATATGTGAAAAAGTGAGTGATTATTGTATATGTGAGAAAGAGTGAGTACAGTATATGTGTGAGAAAGAGTGAGTACAGTATATGTGTGAGAAAGAGTGAGTTGGTGTGTGCCGTCTCCTAGCAACCAAGCGAGAGCTGACGCCAGATGGTACGGTTGCTTAGCAACGAAACTAGTCACCGGCAACTTTCTGGGTTTTCCCAACATGATTCATAGAGGACTGGCGGCTGCTGCTGGGTATATAAGCTCTGTCTCTCCATTGAGATTCAATCTGACCATTCTTCTTGAACAAGCAACACCTCCTCCTCCACCGCTGCCTGGCTGCCTTCACTTCTCCTCGCCTGCCTGGCGGTCCTCGCTCCCGCCAGCGAGCATGGCGACCCACCAGCTGTCCTTCTCTGAGCTTCCTCACCACACGGCACCTCCAGCACCAGACTGTCTATCATATAACTTATATTATACAAAAAAACCACATTAGAGTTTCCTTCCATCCTGAGTGCTAGACAACATTAATATCTCGATACCCCTACAAAGTCCACTACATAGTCAACAAAGGCGAAGTTTAGAGTCTTTACCTGTCACAGACTGCCTGACTTAATGCCAGCGACAAATGGAGAGCTATATATAAGCATACTTGTTGATATTTGATCTTGATGTTTGATAGCTTAGTTTGTGATATTATGAGGGCGCGGAAAACTTCCGTATGTCCCGTCATAACAGTCAAGTTGTTATTGTATTCGATCCCTTAGATATCGGCGATATTGCCACTTATTCAGTTGTTTTTGTTTTGTTTAGGATACTTCTAGTACTAATACGCCAAGGTTGGTTCCACCGTTTTGATATTTGCGTTGCAACAGTTGTCACCCGTTATAATTTTATGCGTATATCATTACAAAATCGTAGTAACTCAACTAACAGCATTATCTGTTTCGACGGTCTAGGAGTTATTAGCACCCGGCTTTGCTATAGAGCGGCGAGAAGGTACAGAGTATCTGGTACTGTAGTGGAGTGCACCAGAGGTGTACACTGTTATCACCAGACCTCAGGGTAGTCATGGGCTGGATAACGCGGTTATCAGAATGGAGGAACGTGAGAGGAGTTTGTTATATAGATGAACGTGAGATGCATATTAGCCATTGTTGAATGTTGATAAATGTGATTAAATATCGAGTTATGTTACAGAGAAATGTTATATTGTAGCGAAGTGTATGTGGCCAGTAGTCTAATTTCTCTTTGTGTTTGTCTATTTTCTCTTTGTTAGGCTCACGTACAATATATTATGCTGTTCGTGAAGGGTGTCGAATAAAAGGAAAAATGTTGAGAAAGTGACAGGATGGAGTAGTTGTCAACAAGTTCAGAAATATGTACAAGTAAAACGAGAAGAAAATCTAAACCAATAATATAGCAACTCACAGAAAAAATAGCTGGTGCTCAGTAAATCATATTATAAAGATATACTTTAGTTGTTGAAGAGTAGTTATACAACATAACATTAAGGGCTTTCGAAAGAACTTATAATATAGGTTCAAAATCGTGATAAATTATAAGACTAC